GGATCAAAACAGCCAGTCAGAGCGAGCTGTCGAAGTTGGAGTACCCGCCAGTATTTTACTTCAACAAAACAGGAGACTTTCCCATGCAGGACATCTGTCATGAGTTGAAAAAACTGGTTAACTGTCTCCATTACCTCAGTACTAGATTCATCATAATGGCCGATTCTGATTCGATCGAAGACACGAAATTCACCCTAAACTGGGGGATGATTCTTAAACTCGCTACGGAAAGTGAAGAATTCAGAGACTCTGTATCCCTTACAACTCTGCAGCACTCTGATAGACAAAACCCGCAGTGTGCTGCAGAGCTAACGGCTAAATGGGATGTTCTAAAACAAGCAGGATTTCTGAGCCTCTCGGCCTATCTTAAGGCCGGGTTTTTGCTCCTGGCAGCGTTTTATGACAAATCGCTGACTGTTTCAGAAAGAGCTGAAAATGCGTGGACTGTTTTCACGTTCTTCACTCTGTGGGGAGAACACTCGAAGAAATTAAATACCAGCGAGAACTTCATAACTAGAGAAAGCTTCAAAGACTTAATATCCGCAGCTAACGGACTTGTCTTGTATTTTGTCGACTTGATTTGTAATCACCCCAAAGCACCAGTAGTACCGTGGTTTTTATCGTCTGATCAAAATGAACAACTCTTCGCTCGAATCAGGGTTGGACGGCACTCCGGTAGACGCACACAAATCGACTCTACAAGTTAAGAGTCCCTGAAGCCATGGGTCGTTACAACCGACTATTAGAGGTGGAGAATACGCTTGATGTTGAATGTGGTACAAGTGTTCATAAAACCGCTCATACCCGGGGGAAGACACTCTTTCGTTCTGAGTGGAGCAAACATCCAGAGAAAAAGATTGCTGTTGATTTTGGAGGTTCGGTCAAGATGAGTAACCTTATAATCCAAAGCTTAAAAAGAGGATCCAAGATTGGAGAGGAACTCTTTGTTTCCTCTTCTAGTTATGGAAGTTCGTATCTTTCAGGTGATAATGGAAATGTTATTTCTGAAAGACGGCGGAGTCTCCAATTTCCACTCTCATATGGTAGTGAACAACAATCAGATGATGAATCAGACCATGAGAGTGAAGACAATTTTTCTGATTATGAGGACGAAGAGCTGGTTGATAGCTCCACTAAGGTCGTGACCAAATATTGTAACCAAGGTAAGATTTTTTGGTCTTGCCTTGGATACAAGTATTGGGTTGTATCGCCCAGTCTGTAAAGGTTTAGCAGAACCAGAGCTATGCAACGCTCAAGAGGTGCAAGTTGGTGGAACAATAACTGGTATACTCATAACAGGCAAGGATGAAAAAAGAAGGCGCACGGTTGTGCAGGGCAAAGTGCTTTCTATATCTGTTAAGACATCTAAAGCATCACAAAGAAAAGGAAATGCTCGGTCGGGAGAGAGAAGACCTGCGGTGGCGATCTGTATTGAGCACGATATGTCTTCCCAGTGTTGGGTGAAGACCCAGGATGGTTCAATAATAAGTTTAGATTGGGAGAACGTTGTTGTTATGGTATAATTGGGTTAGTTGTAATATGTAGTAATATCAGTGTTTGAGAAAGTTGTAAAATTAATTTTTCATCCCCTTCCAAGACGTAAAGTACCGTCTACTTATTGTTAGTTAACTTTAGGTAGGTTCTAAGTGGTCCTCGTGTCTGTCCTTCTTGTTCCAGGAAGTGCGGAAAAAAACATGACCATTAATGTCAGTATTCGAAATTTTGGCAAAACTGACATTGTCATTAATGGTCATTAATGGTCATTAATGGTCATTAATGGTCATTAATGGTCATTAATGGTCGTTGCATCACCCCCCACTTCCCAATAATCCGTCTCAGGATCTCACCAATACCAATTGGTCTTAGGCCTGGACATTTATCTAAGGGGACAAGCCTACCAGCTGTGAGCACTGCTATTGATTTGAAATCTACATCTTCAGTACATACACGCCTGGCTAATCTGGCAATTGCTTCAGCGACAAGCTCTTGGGATTTACTAAATGCACTACAACACAGGATGTGCTGCCAGCACTCTGAATCTACTAGTGTTGGTCCACCTGATCCTGATGTCAGCTTAGCAGCCTTTTTCACTAACATTGAATCGATGGCTTCAAAGATAACTTCTTCGACTGCCACTTTGTTACCTGTGATCAAAATTTCATCTGCTGCATTCATAGCAGAGGGATGCTTTTCCTTTAGCTGTCCAATAACCGTTTCATCAACATCCAACAGTCCACCACTTTGACGATTTATGAGACTGGTTGCTGCTGAGACTTTGCCATGGATCATGAGCTGTGCAAACTTGGTAGCAAGGGATCTCTCCTGGGCTTTACGTGTTTCTTCAAGTCGTTTCTGAATCTCACACCCTTCACTGATTATAGCGTTCAAGTCCCCAACTTTCCATAACTTGAGCCTTTTATCAAGACAGATGTTGTGATCCTTTGCACGAGAGTTTTCAGATGGTTTTTGCAGCATCATAGGAATGAAGATAAATAGTAATCTCAACGCTATACTCTCCCATTCTGTCTTGTCATTAAACAGGTTGAGTAATCTGCTTACTTAAAAAATGAAGGCGTTGCCCACTTTGCCCCGTGGCACTAGGAACATGTTCTTGGTCCATTTCATAATTTCACTGTAGGCTAAATCAGCAGCATTGGATATCTCACTTAAAGAAACATAATTACCCCATTTAACTACTTTAACTAGCTTAGCCGGTTTCTTCTCTAGGGCCTTACAATTCTTACATACCCACATTACTTCTGAGTGTTGCCCAAGTTTTTCAAAAGTTTTTTTGTGCATACAACACTTAGTATGATACCATTTTTCACAGGGACAATCACACTTAACGCATTCGAAGCCGGTGACATCATGAGAGCATTTACCACATGGATACACAACAGAAGGGGCATCAGGGTTGCTTCCATTTCTGATTGGAGCCTCAACTGGGCTATGATTGTTAGAAGTTCCTACTTCAACAGAATGATATGTTTCTACTACTTTTACTGAGTCTACTACTTGGGATTGAGATTTATTTGACAAGATTTATTTGACAAGCGCATTGTTATCGCCCACGTGACTACCTGTGCAAAGTTATTTTGCGCGATAATCTGAATTAAATAATTGTTGGCACGGCTGCGCTGAACTGACCAAGTACATTGTTAATTTCACCATGTATCCCACTAGGCACTAATAAATAGCATACTATTATTATTTTGAGTTACCATTACTATTTTGCACAGATCCGTGTCGGGTGTCAGGTTGCTTAGACAATAAACATATGGTTACATAGAAATATACACGATCTTAAAATTCAATATGGAATTATATTAACTGCAAACTGGGCGGTGCTCGGCCTGTCACTCCACCATATCTGCATGCTTATAAGCAGCAAAAAATAGGGTCCCCATGTTGTATGGAATATGATAAAATACGCCATCACGGATCGGGAAATTGAGCGGCCATCCACAAAAGAAAAGCGGCCGCATTTCTTGTTAATTATTACTATTACTATATTTCTCAGTTCATAAACAAACCAATTATCTGGAATAATATTCTTGCTTAAATTGTTGTCAATAACTTTGTGCAGTTTGGTCCGGTTCTCTCAAATCTCAATCCTTATATGTTAAACATGTCCAACGTTTTTTGTACTGAAAGACAACCTTATAGGATTCAAGAGCTTCCACAGCGTTTTATAGAACCATGGTTTATTGTACATTACAATGTTGATGTACTGATAGATACCCTTTCAAGATACGAAATCTCTCGGCAAGGCTGTAGGCCTCACCTTATTTAACCTTCGACAGATCCGCAACTGTGTCTATTGCTGGGGGCATCATATATTCAATGAAGTTCTCGGCTAATCCAAGGGATCCATGTTCCACGAAGGAGCTCGAGGCTACAACATTTAACATAGTTTGTTAAGAATATGATTGGTTCGAATAGTCCTCTCTTTGTTTTTGCACATTAAGTAAGTATGTCTCTTCATTCTTGATACTTGTCCCGGTAGTGAGTTTCTAAAGCAAAACTCACAATTTTGATATTAATACTGGAGTTAATTTTTTCGAAATTGTCCCACATTCAAACGACAATATGGCGCCCCCTCACAGCAGGGTCAGTGGGGCGCAGGCTCTTCTTTAGGCCACTGTTAGGCCCCTAAACATCATTGTGTATCTATATATCCATTGTTGAGTGCGTTGATCTCCTGGCTATCAAACCTGAAGATCCCTTGTAGTGCAGTGGTTGTGGACTGGATGCGCTAAGAAATTCAATGCAAACTCCTCCAGTCTACTCACTAAATGAATCGGAAATTTGTCACTTTTTAATTATTATCAGTTACCTGCAACTGAAAGAAGAGCTGGGTGGAGCAGACTCACATTCCTATCTAGATGAAGTGTTAACAAAAAGCAGCACACAAAAAGCATTCATTAGGAGAGTCGAATTTCTTTGGGGACAAAATGATGCTCTCCAGGATTTACCTACTAGAAAGATCATGAAATAAAGACTCTGCAAACATCTCAGAGAAATATTACCACCATAAAGAACAAAGAGGGAGTATCCTGGACCCCGAAATCCACCACTTTTCTGTACTTTCAGAGGTACCAATGTGGCAGGAAACCAGGGCTCATGCTGCCGCTGAGCTAAAGCAGTAGAGGGGATGGCGGCTTCTCTAGGATCTAACACGTCCTGAAGCAGACCAACACTATGTCCCAACGCACTGGTGTTGGGATGTCTGCCCCCGGTACCTGTCCGTGTCAATAAAGCAGTCAAGCATTATGTATGTTATGTTGAGCATTCTCAACCAACAATTGTGGGAACTCCCACGAAAGACCAAAACAGATCTAAAGAGACACTTAACAACATTGGAAAATATACTTCAATTTGTTTATATAATTTATAAAGCGTATATTATTGCCCACGTTACTAGGGGCCTGTTAATAATTTATTAAATTATTAGCTATTTTAGATTTAATAATAATAAATAATTATTATCACATACTAAAAAATGTTAGCATGACAAAAAAGAAGTCTACAAGTCGACAGTCCCTTGGTGCCGCTAGGAATGCCCCTTCTGCTTACTTTGATGAGCTTTGTCAGATATCTACAATCCTCAACTGTGGACTCGAGCAAGGTTAATATTATCCATTTTGATGTACTGTTTGTTCAACTGATTTATGTACTATGTACATAGCTCTGAGATGTGTTTCAGAAATATACAAATAAATCCTTGAAAGCTCTGTCCTTGTCGTTACTTCTACCTTAATCTAACCAATGCCTAATGATTCTCCTCAGAATGGATAGAGTTCATATCAAACCAAGCAGACCTTCAACAGCGATGCCAGGCAGCAGAAGGAGAGGTTACCAGACTACGAGTACAAGTCAACCAGTTCAAATCAGACAAAGAAGCGTCTGATCTCCGTGTCAAACACATGAGGTAAGGCCAACTGGATAGTTTCCATTTCGAATGCTTTATTGTTTTAAACTAGAAGTTTAATTGCGATATAAATTCTAGTGAAACAGCATATGTTTTACAAATTCTAAGCTGCCATTTGCTATTTAATTGTAGACCAATGTTGTATTTCTATTAAAATTAAATTAAATTCAAAATGCCAAGGCAAAGGGCATGGGGCAGTTGTTATATAAAACAAAAATCATGCCCAATTGCAATATGTGTTAATCTTTTTGATCGTGTCTTGACATTTCCGTACCTTTTACAGGAAGCAGCTTGCAGAAGAGAAGTCACAGAAACAAGCTTTAAGTAAACTGAATGAGAAACTTGTAAGTGAAGTATTTTAGTCGGCCTTACATTATTAGTCGGCTAATGCTATTCATTAGTCGAAGTAAAATCTCATTACTTCAATATCATTGAGATATGTTATACTGCGTGTTATAAAGTTATCAGTTATGTTTATATTTTAGTCAGTAACACAGAGTATAAATACTAAAATATACGGTACTACGGAAGAAATACCCTCATTTAATGAAGAGACAATTTTATGAAAGAGATAACTATAATATAATCCATAAGTTGCAGATTTGTGTTGGTTCGAACATAAGATTCTATAAAATAGCACTTATTATTTGTAATAATATATTGTATATTATATACATTAGTTAGTTAGTTATTGATTAGTCGATGAGGTAAAAGATTTTCTATTTCAGGTTCAACAAATCCGTGTTATAAAAGAGATCCTGGAAGACCGAGACAGAATGAGCATGATGACGGACGAAGATAAAACAGCTCTAGGACTTAACAAGAGCCATCTCAGAAAGCAGTTTGACAAAGTGTTTGAAGATGTGTCAGTAGACCTGGACTCAGATCAGAGTTTAGAGCCGAGTTTCGAAGGAGAGTTGGAGGAGACGAGGACAGAGTGGAGGCGCAGATCCAGGAGGTCCAACGTGCGAAAATCTGAGAGACAAAGCACAGGGCCGGGGGTGACTGTGAAGAAGAGAAGAACTTCCAACCTGCATCATCCTCCTAAAGAGGACATCTACATGACGGTAAACATGGTCTTCAAACGTTCAGAGTAAAATCAATCAAAGTTTATTAAAGTTATGGTAGTTTTTTCTGTTTTAAAGAGCGTTAAATTAATTGTTGTTACAATAGTATCGTTACACCTGTGATTTATCTCCTTACAACTTCACAGTTCCACAAAATCGATTTTATTACCATATTTTATACCTCACCCAGATGGAACCAACTTCGTCTGAGAGTAGCGAACCTCCTGTCATTTACCCCAACCTCAAGAAGTTCAACAAAGCTCACCCTGTTCCTCACGTCGAAGCAGAAGGTGGAATAATGATTACTACCTCAATTTTAAAATTTTAAATTCAAGGCAATTTAAATTTTAGAAATCTATATTATATAAATTTGCTGGCAAAAAAAAGATTGAATATCGACTTTCAATTTCAGTGATATCGGTGCAATCGTCAGAAGCGACCACTATTTCCACAACCGAAACGGAGAGTGACGTTGACTATCTTCCGTCTGACACAGAGTCCATCTCCTCGACCACTAGCGAGAGTTCCCTGCCAAACCGTCCCCATCACTTTGCGCTCAAGAGCATGATTAAACCAGAGGGCTGCAAAGCTTGTCGTAAAAGACTCGGTTTTTCTGCCCACGCTCTACGTTGTAAATGTAAGTGTTTTCATACAACACTTTAGTGAAATTCTAAAAGTCGTTCAGAATTTAAATATTAGTATTTCAGCTTATTTTTTATCATAATGAAATGGTTCCATGGTTATACTTTATACTATACCATACTATACCATGCCATGCCATGCCATGCCATGCCATACCATACCATACCTAATCAACCCCTCCCAGATTGCAAGATGGTGGTACACCAAGATTGTAAGAATGCAGCACCGATGCCCTGCGTCCCTATCCTTAGCACACCGTCCCGGAAACAAGACGGAAGTCTCTTTTCCTACGTTCCCAAGAACCCGCCCCATGTCCCGTCAATTATGCTCCGGTGTGTTCAGGAAATAGAAGCCAGGGGACTGAACGAGATAGGACTCTACAGGGTCACTGGACCAGGTAATTAAAGATATCAACATGTTATGGGGTGAACTATTTTTCTAATATTTCCGGACGTTTCCTTTTGCAATCAAAACATAAACTACGAAATTTGGCTTAATCAGAATTTGTAATGAAATGTTATTTCTCATGTAACATACTTGCTTTTTCAGATAAGGCAATAAAAGAGCTGAAGGAGAGGATGCTGAGACCGAGATGTCAGACCAACCTCCGGAAGATTGATGACACTACAATCCTAACAGGAGTTCTCAAGAACTTCCTCATGAACCTGAACGATCCCATTTTGACCTCAGCGCTGTCAGATGAATTTAAGAATAACGCGGAGAAAGGAAGTGCTAATCACCTCTACGGAACGATATCCAAGCTCCCTCACGAGAATAGACATACACTAGCTTTCCTCATCATACATTTGCAGAAGTATGTACTGTGCGCACAGTGGTCCACCAGGCTATAATTGAACCAAAATCGAGTGTCATGAAATTCTGTTTATTTATTTGTTATTTATCATAAATTATCAGCCGGTACATATGCTAAAGACGATAATTAAAAATATTTCAAAATGTGGAAATGATGTACGATAAATATCAACGATTTTTTTATACAGTCCGAAATTCAAGCAATTAGCAGTAAAAATTGGCCTACATCTGACTGGATATTCATAAAGCAGTCTATATATGCATTTACTTACTCTTGTTGTTGCTGTTGTACGTGTTGAATACCTGTCTAATGAAAAAAAAATCATGTTGATATCTATTTTGGTTGATTTTTCATTTACCCTCAAATTTTAGACCCACTTTTTAACTAAAATTTTGGTTTTAAAATAAAAAAATGTTAGGTAGTGCGCTCGAGTGCACCTAAACCACCTATGGCATCCTAAAGTTCAGATAATTATCTAACTAGCCATAAAAAATTCAACCTGGGACAAGCTGGGACTTTTTTTTTAATCAGCCACGCCCATATTTGGTCCCAATTATCCCATTTATGCAAAATCACCTTAACAAGCTCAAAACCATGCTTTGGGGTGCTTTACTTGTAGCTTATAGTCTCCTGAACACAAATATAAAGTTTTATCAAAATTTGAAAAAAATTGGCTGAGTTATGAGCAAAATACTATATGACCATATTTGGGCATACGCGCCAATTTTGATAGATTTTTATAGATTTTAGCCCATAAATTGGCCAATTATCAATATTTTTGGATGAGACAAATTTTATATGTTAGGTAAGCCTATACTTCACATTCTCTATGAATATCAGCTCAATATCTACCTAACTGTGGATTCTGTGTTCAAATAATGGCAAAAAATGAACAAAATTGCCCATATCTCAGTTCGCGACATTCGCGAAACTGATTTCGCTCAAAATAATATAACTCAATAGGGTTTCAATATTTTTCAATGAAATTTTCAGAATCAACGTAGAATTGCCTAAGGACCTTAAGTTGTGGAGTAGAATTTTGAGTCAGGCCTTTTAAACAAATTTAGCGGCCAAATTCTAAAATTTTCAGGGTATTTTTGGAAAAAATCAATTTTTTGATTTCTCATTTTCAGCCCTTCTGGTATATTTTGAGGTCTTGTAAGTGCTTTAAAACGTCTTTTTGGGCGAAAATACTCCAGAAAACATCTCCTGAGACAACAAAATGACCTAGAAGGGGTCTATTATAGCCTGACCCCCCTTCGCGGACCACTGTGGTGCGACTGTTTTTATCCTAACTCAAACATTCCATCAATCGAGTTCAACTAATTGTAAATCGTGGAATTTATTGGAAAAAATTGAACCCATGGTATTATTAACATAATATGTTGACGATAACATATGCAGGGTTGCCGAGAGTGAACACTGCAAGATGCCCCGCTCCAACATTGCCAGAGTATTTGCACCGACTCTAGTCGCAAGCATCGCAATGACCGACATGGACAGCGCGATGCGTGACACGAAGCGCAGCGCTAAAGTAGTAGAATGTTTGCTGGACCTACCCCCGTACTACTGGACCAACATGTTGAACCCTCACGAGGATTGCTCCTCTCCTACTCCTTACTCTAATGATGAAGCTCCTCGTACTCCCGGTACCCCTGAAATGTTGAAGGGTAAGTTGTTTAATTGGTTAGGTAATTATATGATGAGTTCGGTTGATTACCCTCGTGTCATGTTGGTATTGGTTAGAAACAATTTACAATTATATAATACTATGCTGTTGAGTAGTAAAATATGGTCTTATGTGTCGACAACCGTACACAGTTGTGTGCTGTTATTGTGATGATAGCTGACGGTACATTTAATAACTTCGCATTATAACAATATAACATGACACATGTTGTTATTAATATGGCTAAATCATAGGACATGATAAGATTCAATCCCAAATTACATGTTCAAAGAAATAATGTTTTATCTTAGGTTTATGCCTTGGAGGAAGGGGAAATATTGCTCGTGTATATTATTTGTAAACATTCCACTAGTAACATTCCTGAAAATTGACTTGTTGTTAATGTTTCAGTACAACCGGGAATGTACCAGCCTCCAACTCCTACCAACGCTAAGGAAACCACGTTTACTCAGCGTGTTTTCGGTGGAAAGAAAAAGACTTTCTTCAACAAGTTTGAAACACCTTGATTTTGACAGAACTGTGGTTTGTTAAACTTGTATTAGTTTGTAGATATATTATTGCGTTTGTATACCAAAGTGTGTGAGATCATGATACGATGAGAAACAATACACAAAAATGTTTGTGAGGGCTAAGGATACCAATCTGTGTGTGCCCATTGTCAGGGACGCTTAGCACAATTTTCCGATTTTTCTTGAACCTAAAACATTCTGGCAGTGATACAGTTTCCAACGAAAGATAGTTAGCATTTTGAATATTGACCTCTTAGATTATAGGCCAGGTTCTGACAGGACAATCGAACTTTGTCTGGGTTAAAATGAGAGATAACCTGGCGATGGGCAAATGTGAATATGAGTGAATTGCAAGGGAAAAGAATATAATTAATTTTCGTGTCAAACTCATGTGTTTCCACAATACAAATGTTACTTAGTTGAACATGATTGCTTTGAAAGCAGCAATTTTTTTTTTATTTAAAGTTCTGGGAATCATCGACCGTTATCCAAGAAATTCATTTGCGATGTTTGTAATTGTGCATGCCGGAGATTTTTGTGATCATTCTTGACACGACAAAATTTCGATGATTCCCCAGCTTTGTTCCTTCAACATTGAACAATGTTGTACTAATATTTCGCTTGGTTTTAGTTTTTAAACATTTTTTATCGTAAAATGCACGACTCTAATTTTAAACTTAACTATGACTCTGAAACTGTAAATATAAGTTAAGAATAGTAAATACATTCTTAAGACGAAGTTGATTGTACGTTATATGCAAAACCTTCAATATAATTGTTTGAATACTTATTCTAGCAATTTGACAGTTTCAATACTGTAACTATTGCGGGTTGTGCGGGAAGTTTTGACAGTAGATTTTACATTTTGTTTTTAACGCCATCAGATGGGAAACTTATCCCCAATTTTCTCTGAATTAGAATTTTCAGTGTCCACAAGTAAGTTAAGCAGAGCCATTTCCTAGTTCAGATTCCAGAGCATGTGTGTTACATCTGACTGAGGAGTTTAAATAATTGATTTGATTTTCAACTGTTTGTGTCGAATGTAAGTTGTACTGCTGTGTAGTAAGTCAAACTAGCGCGAATGATGTCATATTTTTATTGTATTGTATTGGTCACTATTCAGTATCCTATTTAAAAGTCTTGAAAAAATGTTATGTTACTGTTTCCACTTAAAACGTCTGTAAATTTTTAGGTAGACGGATTTAGATAAAGCGAACATTACAATCTTCTTATATTATCTACATTTTTCACCGTCACTACTCATAAAAACCTTGACCGTCCCATCATCAAATAGCAATGCCTCGTCATTCGGAGAAGCCGAAGCCAGTGAGCGTGTACGTGCGATGCAGACCCCGGAACAGCTCAGAAAAGAACTCAGGATCACCTTCTATTGTGCAGTGCTCAAAGAAAGAGGTGGTAATAAAGCATCACAACACTAACCTCAACAAGAAGTACACTTTTGATCACGTGTACGGTCCGGAGTCCTCCCAGGTGGACGTTTACAAAGGTTAGTTCACCTTCAGTCTTCCCCCCTCCAGCTAACCCCTACCCCCCGGCCCCCTTCAGTGGGTCTTAAATAATTGGAGTTAAGTATTTAACTATTTTTTAAACAGAACTATCACTCCACTAGGTGTAGCACAAGCTACAATAGAGGAGGTGCTACAAGGATACAATTGTACGGTATTCGCATACGGTCAAACGGGAACCGGCAAGACTTACACTATGGAGGGTGAAAGAAGTGCTGGCTCTAGTCTACCTTGGGAAAAGGTTCGTGTCATGGCTCAAAATTACCATTTTAAAGTTTAAGGCCACAGGGGGGGTCCGAGGTCGAAAAAAATTTTTTTGCCAGTTGGCAGACCACGTACTATCTGACGCTTGCACACCACCCTTAGCCCCCCAGAGCGACTAGTTTGTCGTAAAATAGAGGTTAACTATTGCCTTTTTAATCAGTTAACCTCACAAATAACCAGTTCTTAACATTTTGTTGCTCTCATCACAAGTTAAACTTATCAATGGGTATCAATTGGCCATCCAATGTGAACAGAACTATTATATGTCCTTTATTTGTTGGAAAATTGAGGTTAACATATTTTCTCAGAATCATGGTCTTTTGACTCTCCTGAACAATTTATTTACCACCTCAAAAACCTATCTTCTCCTAGCTTTTATCCATTTCACCTCAAATTTGGAACTTATGTTCCTGACATAAATAACAAAGTTTGTTATGTAACGATTGTTGTAATTTTGCTCCTAACTCTTTTTATGAGGTTAACCATTTTAAATTTTGTAAATTTTGTAATTCTCACTCATGGTTAACCTCATATCTCAGCTTTGGAGCAAGATATCATAAATCGTTACATAACAAAAACTCAAAATACCTTTAAGAACATTGTTGCCAAGTTACAAGGTTCTAAGTCATAAACTAAAAAAGAAGATAGATTTTGAACACAATTGCATTTAAAGTTTTCATTTACAATAGAATTACAGGTAAACCTCAAAATTCAACGCGCGATATCTTCAAATAGGAAACTTTGTTTTCGGTAAGGACAAAAGCATTTGAAAATTTAGATCGAGCTCTACAACATATCTCAAAATCTCAAAATTGACCTCGGACCCCCCCCCCTGTGGCCTTAAACCCTTGATTTTTAAACCTCCAATGTTTAATGTTTATAGCTTCTTAAATAGATTTCTGCACCGGTGAAAATTCTCAGTACGTTTGATCCTAACAACACACCTCCCCTTCCAGGACCCCAAAATAGGTCTAATCCCTCGGTGTATGTCCCACTTGTTCGACCGACTGAACAGTCAAGCTAGTGACTTCTCAGTTAGGATCAGCATGTTGGAACTTTACAACGAGGAGCTGTTTGATCTGCTGTCCACTAACAGCAGCAACGTGACTAAGTTGAAACTGTTTGAGGATTCCACCAGGAAGGTAACGGGATCACGTGGAATTGTAAGTAGCGCCAGTTGGGGATCCTAGCATGTTACGGCTATGTGACGCACTGCTGCTGCTCTTCTTATCTTTGGAGAGAAGGAGGAGGAGCCCGGGAAGCAGACTATTTGGTCTGCTACCCCCTTCTCCTATTCTCCTCTTTGTTTGCTTGGTACACTGAGTGTTGTAAGGGCTCGTTGGAGGCAGGCTAGTGCACTAGCAATGCAGCTACACTAGCAACACCTTGCATAACTTAGCGTATCAGTGCTCCTACCTCCTGCAAAAATATTTCTCTTGCATTTATCTTAACTTCTTTAAAGCACTCTAAAGCACTTCCAAACAGCACATTTAATCTTTTGCAGTCTTATTTCTGTAAAACTGATTTCCAAGCATCAAGCATGACATGAGACTGATCACGTTCCCGAATAAGAATTTGTTAGTAATATAGGCATGTTTCAAAGCATGGAAACTACTAACGCCCAAACTTGATTACCTACAACGATTGAGTACTAAATAATATGAGATTTTAGCATGAATGATATTTTTATGATTCAGCACTTTAACATGACTATACCCTTTGATTGGGATCGGATTTGAACTTATGTGTTTATCAAATAGTCACAATATAAGAGTTAAGACTAATATTCTATAGCACTATTATTTCAATTTAACGGTTAAGTCGCTGTAGAGTGTAGATTTAATGTATATTATATAATAGTTTTCACAAATCAATGGACAATTGTCTTTCCTTAAGTGGACAAAGAATTTTTGTCTGTCAAATTCGAAATTTGATGATCGTTAAAGTATCAAGGTATGACCTAATTTCATTAAAATTAGTATATATATCAATAACACTGCTTTTAATACACATATTTAATGAGCCCATTCGCAGAGTTCCATTGTAAGTACTGAGTAAATGTCGCTGTAAGTAATGCACCCTTATTTAATGCGGAATACTTACTGCTGGCGCATGAACAATCCTGGCTGTATGCTTGTAATACAGATTCTGGTCCCATAATAAAGCAACACCATTATAGGACACTGAACGATCTCTTACAATATCATGTTATCTCGGAATGTTTTTTTCTTCATTTTTCACACTACCCACATTGTTGCATTAAACTTACAAGATTCTTGGACATGTTGAATTATCTCTCATATACTTCATGAAATCAGCACAGCGTGCATGTCACATTTTCAACTTATCATTCGCATTCCGAACTTTTCAATCGTATCATCTCATTTATCATGATATATTTCAAGAATTATAATAATAATTGTAAATTTTGGCTTGCCGTATTGACACATAGCTGTTCAGGGATCAGTAGTAATTCAAGGATTGGAGGAGGTACAAGTGATGAACAAGGACGAAGTATACCATGTGATGGACCGCGCGATGCAGAAGAGGCGCACGGCGGAGACACTGCTAAACGCCACCTCTAGTAGATCACATGTGGTGTTCACAGTTACAGTTCACATCAAGTCTGTAGCTGAGAAGGAGGATATTGGGGAGTGTGAGGAGGAGGTCTTCAAGATGGGCAAGTTCAACCTGGTAAGTTTAAATAAGGGTATTTTAGGGGAGGCTTGTCACATTTTTACTTCTTATCATAGTCATAAGATGTCAGAAAGAGCCTGAACTAACATGATTTGTCAATATTTAGAAAACTAATTGTACTCTCGTTTAGGTTGATTTGGCAGGTTCAGAGAATATCGGACGGTCAGGTGCGGCGAACGCGCGAGCACGTGAAGCTGGCAACATAAACCAGAGTCTGCTGACCCTGGGTCGGGTTATTACAGCTCTAGTAGACAGAGCTCCTCACATTCCCTACAGGGAGAGTAAACTTACTCGTTTATTACAGGTACCGTTCTATCTCCTGCTTGGAAAGCAGTGTTATATATTATGTTGTAAAAGTTAAGATTTAAATCTGCAATTTCTTCTATTCGCTTGTTTTAAGTTTTCAGTCATTTGTTTGCAAGTGACCGTAGACAGCACTGTACCGAATTAAATAAAAATTGTAGATTTTAATTTTATAGAAAGTTGAACTTTATTATCTGCAGGACAGTTTGGGAGGACGAACCCAGACATCTATCATTGCAACAGTCTCCCCGGCAGCCTGCAACCTAGAGGAGACACTCAGCACCCTAGACTACGCTAACAGAGCTAAGAACATCCTGAACAAGCCGGAGGTTAACCAAAGATCCTCCAAGAAGACTCTGATTAAGGAGTACACTGCGGAGATAGAGAAGCTGAAGAAGGAGCTACAGAACAGCAGGGACAAATCTGGGGTTTATCTGGAGGTCGATAAGTTCAAGTGAGTGACATTTTAATTTTAACTGTTTTTACGATTGAGGAGGGAGGACTGATGGAAAACTAGGGGGATGGGTGGGGATGGCCTGGTCTTAAGGTTACATGGTACTGTAACACAGTGATTATTAATTAATTTATTATTATTATTACACAAATAAACTTATCTCTAAACACAGGAAGATAAGAGTGCCCCCCCCCCCCCCCCCCCCCCAAGAGTAGTGATAAGATAGCAAAAATAAGCAATGTACCCAATTAGTGCTGTACGCTTGATTATTTAGTTTGTGTTTATTCCACGGTAACTTGAAATTTGGTGCCCTGACATATTTCGAGATGTTTAAGATAAATCTGATGTTCAGATTTATGGGAAAAATGTACAGTTCAGATTAAATTCTCAATAAGATAATATCTCAGTGAGATGGAATGTCGGATGAAGTCACAAACCCAGCTGATAAAAGAGAAGGAGGACGAGCTTTCCGCACTGATTGAAGCCCGAGAGAAGATATCCAGTTTGTTCCACTACAGTATCAAACAGATTGATGGTCTTCACAAGAAGATAGACAGGAAAGAGATGGTGGAGTCTCAAAACAAAACTCTCATTAACAACTTCATAACGGTACAAATATCTTGTTAGCTTAAATTATGATGATACATCATAATTCATTATAACCATGATACTATACATCATAACCATGATAACAAAACCTTTCATTCATCACTTGACGGCCGCACCGTGCTTTGTTTTTATTTACTGTATTTTTCGAACGTCACACCAACAACGAGACTGAAACTTGTATCCCTAAATTATAACTGATCTCAGGACACGAAGAACCGATATGACATGTTCGAGGAGTTTGTAACTCAGAGCAACAGTCAGCTCTCAGATAGAAACAAGGCTATAGACAGCCTGCTCCAGGAGTCCAACAGTAAGAACAACGAGTACAGGGAGAAGCAGAGAACATGTTTGAACCAGCTGATGGAAACTGTTGTCAGTGGGTTGGATACTGCTGTTGTTAACAGGGACTCTAACCATGGTGTGTGTCTAGACATTATAATAGCTCGTTACAATCAATCTTTAATTACCATTTTATTAATTGGTTAAATTATCGTTGTATCTATTTTATATTATTTAATTAATTAATTGACTAATTATTTACGTTTTTAGAGCAATGGTTGAAAAGTTTTTTGACGAACGAGCTGATGCCGGCTATTCAGAGGACTATATCCAGCGTACAGGATCTAGAGGGACACTGTGAGCAAACCAATGCTTCCTACATACAGATGGTAATTACTAACTATTAATTATGCTGACCTGCCTTTTTTGCCATAATTACTTAGATAATTCATAATTATTGCTAGATTCTTAATCTTATTCTTAGATAATATCTCTAACTAAGATAATATCTTTCTAACACGCATTTATTTCTAGCTGGAGAAGGAGCACCAGACGTTTAGTTCTAAATTGGAAGATTTCGAGCAAGCTCTCAAATACATGACGAGTTCGGCGATCAGGGAATGTACTAAGATAGTTCAGACTTGCGAGCAGAAACAGTTAGTACTTTTAGTATCTTACTTTCATAATTTATTTGGTTAAACCAAGTTCTCAAATCGTGAATTTTGAGGATGAAGTTTTTAATTGGAATCCAATTGGTTTGTTGAAATGAGCGCTTTGTGACACTTTTTTTCTTGCAGGGAACAACACAAACAACTGTTTGAGGAACAGGAACGTACGATCCAGAGAGAGTACGACCTCATGCAAGACAAGATCGAGAACATGAACCAGCAATTCACAGACAATCTAGCTGAGCTAAGTAAACAAACCACTTCCGCCTTCGCTGATCTCTTCCAGAGCTCTCTTGACGGACGAGCTAACATTCAGGGCAGCGTCAAAAAGGTCAATATCTTTGTTTTGTTATTTGTACGTATTTCGGAGCAAGCTGATTTCGTCAGGATTAAAATCCTGTAATTTGATCGATGATACTTTTATATTACAACAATTTATATCACAATAATTGGTAAACTGTGTTCAACAGTCGGGAGTCATGGTGACAGACGAGGACAAGGAGCTCCAAGAAAACGCATCAGAACTGATAACATCTCTAAAACATGGTACAGCTAGTGTGGTTGAAGGTCACATAAAACTGTTTAAAGAACAAAACGGTCTCAAACCCAAGGTAGGTTCATAATACGCCTGATTATCTTTCATTGAACAAAATAGTGAACAAGTTCTCTACAAATATCACCTCCATTTATACAAAATTTTTCTACCCTTTTCTAGGAAGTCTAGTATCCATTTCTCCGTTTGCTGTTAAAGAAATATGCCATCTTTGATTAAACGTTTTTTCTCTGTTCATATCCAAAAGTATTTGTTGTTGTTGACAATTTACACCCATAATTTCAGCTGATCTCTGATGTGAAATCCAACCTTACATTGACACGCTCAAAGTTTGCCTCTGTCAGAGACTCTTGTTCTCAGAAAGATGCCCTGGTAAAAAGAGTGGCTTCCGAGCATTTCAACCAAGTTTCCAGCTCGCGCAGTGCCACTCTGACATCACATCAGTTGCTACTGTCAAATGGAGACGTGTTCCCACAAGAGCCGCACTTGCACTACATATTTGAGAAGCGCTGCGAATCTGACATGATTACTGTGGAACAGGACAGCGAGCGACTCAGCAATCTTCAAGCTCTTGCGAAGGTGGGGTCTCCGTTTCTCTAATTTTTTATTTTCTACTGAATTATATCAACTAGTTGCATTTTTATACGATATTGAGTTATGTTACAACAAATCATGGTTATTTATCTGTAACTGGAAGTACTAATATCAAGATTATCTTCCATAGGAAGCCTCCAATCTAGTGGAAAACGGCGATGCTACCTGCCAACAATCTAGAGGCCTTATTTCCGAAGCTGGGCAATCACTTCAACATCTGGGAAAACATGTTCGAGAAGATCTGCCAACTGGTGAGTAACCATACATTGATTGGTGTGTAATTTTCCTTATTAATAAAAGTAATTGGTGTCACGGTGGACTGAAATAGAATTGAAATTACAGTATCAGTTATTTCAGCTGTTTTGGAAAAACTCTTCTAACCAAACAATAAATTCAGGTGCAACACCAAAACGGGCCAAGTTGAACAGACTGAAGCTTCAACAATCGGCTGATATCAGTTTGAGTGTGATAGAGTCTGACGATGAAAACAGCGACCCAAACAAGAATCCTGCAAATGCAATGGACGTGTCTTACTGAATACTGTGTTTGAGTAATCTTGCAGCCTGTGTGGCTGATTAATATCGTTAAAATAGTTATGAAACTGACAGGTTTATTGAACTTGGATGCTGAAAGAAAACAAGAAGCATGCTGACATTTCTGCCGGTAAACCTTTCTGTCAATCCGGATCAATTGTTAGCCGTGGTGTTAAGTGATGATGTTAATTTATAAAAAATGTGTTTCCTTGAGATAATTGATAGCTAATTAAAATTCGAAATTGACCTAATTTTGGTAATAGGATTAACTTTAAAGTTCAAATATTCATTTTCATTGTATTCTCCACTTGAATTTGGTTACTAATTGTATCGCGAGTGATGTGTTCATCGCTCAATGTTTCAAGAATGTATTTGTAATTCATCCGAATCGTTTTATGTTCGAATTATGTTTCGGGAAACACTGTATTATTTCTTCAGCAATATCTCGGTGGTTACGTACACAGAATACAGATACACAGAATATAGATCTAGTTATCAGGTTACACGCAAATTTGAAAATCCCTCTTCTTCGGGAACGCGCTAGCGCCGAATGTTTTTTTTGAGGATAATTTTTAGGCACTCTACAGATTCGCGCCCAAAATCGCGAATTTGAAAGCTCTGTCGGCGCGCGCCGATAGTTTGCTGGATCAAGTCCGAACGTACGTGACCTGTCAAACACGCCATCGTATCCAAACTGCTCGACACGGCTTCATAAAATTCATTAATAGGCTTCTTGGATGATGGAAAGTCCCCAAGTTAAGCAAGTTTTAGCATCAAATTTATTTCATGAGTCATGTGGTTCGGACCACACGTACGTTATACAACACCCCATAACCAAACAAAAATGTTCATTCATAATACATTTACCATCAGTGATCAGGCATCACCAAACTACAGTCCCATCCCACAGTGTCACGAAAAGGGTATTGAGATAGGGAATCCCATTTGCACACAAAACATGCCTGATTACTGATTCAGACGAGCAGCTAGCAACACTTCACACTCACAACCACCTTTATTAGACAGTAGTTCATTGAATGTTGGACATGCACAATGCAGGTGTTTGTCACTATCAGCCACTCCACGCGCAAACATCATTTTGTACTAGCAAATTTGGATCTCTCCCAGAATTCATCAGAGGCATGCATTTGCCGATGGCTGTATAGGGTACGAGTTGTTTGGAGCGGGTTAGTATATGGCAAAATCTTGATGGGAAAGGGGGAGGTGAGCTAACAAAGAAGCCCATTGCCTATTTATTCCTCTGTCCTAAACGTTTGGTCGAATTGGCATGAACATTGCTGCTTTTAAACCTTAAAACAGCTAAAACTTGAGTTATAATGAATATAAACTTCACCGTCCTCCAATTAGCAAGTACAGCTCAATAGAGTATGATATCAGAAATATTAATTTTTTGATATTTCGATTTAGACCGAAAATGATGTCCATTTCGCCCATTTATTCCTCGAAATTTAAGGTAAAATGGGCATCGATGGGGTTGCTCCCTCCCTCCTCCTTCGTGACTGATCAAAACATTGTCGTGATCCAACTGTTTTTCCTGTCTTCGACTTCAAAATTCGTCTTCCGTCTAAATCTAATGTAATTTCCAAAAATAGAGACATCGCCATGAATGTTGTTGTCTGCCTAGTTGATGAGTTGACGTGCACTGTATGGAAATAATTCCCGTATAAATGATGTGGTCTGAACAGAATCAATTTTTTCTAAACTCTCACGTTTGGCCCCACTATACTGTGTGAGTCACAATGTGATAACTGGTGAGCGGAAGTTGTTGTATAGAAGTCTCAGCTGATATGAAACGATTGCACAAGATAGAACCGAGCTTGTTATAAAAGTTGTGCTAGTATAATCCCATTCTCTGCAGTCTGCATGGATGAAATTCCCAGGGTAGGTTTATTATTTCTCCATGCTTTCTTATTTTAAGTCCTAAATAGTGTTCAATGTTACTTCCAGCGTTTCCGTCGTCCAACTTTGTCTACTAATTGTAAAACAAAGCGGCACCTTGCACTCAAAAAGAGGATATCCGCCGCCAATCTAATCTCTTTATTAACCTTCCACTCTTGAACTCTGCACATTGAATTACCACTAACGTGGAATCATTGCCTATGTTAAAAACACCGTCTTGGAGTCAGTCTGTCAGACCTCCTGACCGTCCTATTACTCAGCCACTCCTTCAAGTTCATCCAATAAATATCTGACTCTGAGGACTCCCGCGTCAAAACAATTCGAAGTTTCCGTGATTGCTTGCGTCAAGCGTGTGATGACATCTTCATCTTTAGCTTTATTCTGATTTTATTGAGCTGTTCATGTTGGCCGGACGTCGGTTGCATATTAATTAATGGTTTACGTTCTTAACACATAGGTGTAGTATTGCCAGATCCCAGTTTATTTTGTAGCGGAGTTTTCTATTAACAGGAAACGATGTAACAGAGTCGATATATTTTAATGTTATCATGGGGTGGCAAGTCCCCATACATCGTGGTCCGGTAGTTTCATTGCGTCCTAATATGTAATCGTTATTGTCTGTGGACACAGGAAACTTTGCCAACAGTCTTCCTTTAAAGAGCACGACTCGTGAGACTCTTCTTAACACTCGATAATATCACAATTTCAGGATGAAGCTTCATGTTTTTAGTTTTCTCCTCTCTGCTTTCCTGTTTGCTAGTAAGTTCGTCGTATTTTTGTGATCAATAAATCGCTTTGGGAACAAATATGTCTCAACATAAATTAGATATAAACAGCGGTTGCAAATTGTGTTAGACTAATTAAGTTTAAGACCGTTCATCATCAATATTACTATCAGTACCCTTTTATCCATACGGACATTTAAAATCTATTTTAATTCACTTTCAGAGCCAGCAGAGAGCTCAGTAAGGGACCCGATCTGTGTACAGAAGCAGCAAGAAGGAGTACAACTAGGAACTGTCTTTGTTGTGCCTGAGTCTTGCCAGAAATGTGCCTGTGACGGATCTCTAAGGAAATTCTGCATGGTCGACCCATACTGTAAGCAATTAATAATATTTATGATTTATCGTCGAGGGTGTAACACTTTCATCTCCTCGACATTTCATCCACGTTTTCCAAGACAGCTGATCCCATTATTTTAAATGAACATAGCCGTGCACTTATCAATATCATTAAAATATATTATCATTTATCACCAACTTTTATCCCAATAACCTTACCCTTACCCTTAGTGTTATACTCTAAAGCCGAACCAAGTTAAAAACTGCAATGAGACTGTAACCGCGTAGGCACCACATTTCAAACACACAACATACTCTCTTCTTCTTCTAGGCAAGGAGACCAAGGAGGCGTTGGACAAGAATCCTTGCTACAAAGGGGGGAGCAAGTTCAAACATGGGAGCCAAGTTCAGGTGGACTGTAACATCTGTACTTGCAACAACGTTACTTGGACCTGCACTACTGATGACTGTAGTAATAACGGTACATTTTCTAACTAGTCTGGCAGTAGTCAGTACAGACTAGTTTTAGTCTGACAAGTTTTAGTCTCTACTGTCACCCTATGGGATCTTTCTGTTTCAATTGAATCCTGTTTCCTCTATCAGTCTCGGATTGTACATTGCATTATTAGTTCAGTTGTTAAATGTTAAAAAGGTCAAATTATATCATTGTACTTGCAGGAGGGAGCGTGAAAAAAGAAGAAGAATCAAGTTGTAAGGATCTAGATACCAGATGTGAAAACTGGGTGGAAAGAAAGGGAAAGGAACTGTGCGATACCAAAAAATACGTCGAAAAGAAATGCTTAAAATCCTGTGACAAATGCTCGAAAACAGTTGTAGTGGAGGACGAGAATAAAGAAGAGGCCTGCAAAGATAAGAGCAAGCACTGTACTTCATGGTCCAAGAGGGCGGGAAACCTTTGTCAGACCCACAAGACCATGCTTTCCAAGTGTAGAGTTACCTGTGGCTTGTGCACTCCCGAAGGTGGTGATGGAAGTAAGATATGATTGCTTTTCAATGATTTCATCGTTGCTTTAAAGTTGACTCTCAGATTATGTTACATAAGATTTTCCAGGCTTCATTTCAGCAAAATTTAATTTGATTTCTGATGAATTACTTGAAATGATGAATATGTAAACTGCTATCAGCTGCTGAAGAAGAGAATGAAGTAACAGTGGAAGAAGTAACCCCTCGAGAGAAGACAGCACAGGAACTGGAAGAAGAACGGAGACAGGCGGAAGTAGATGCCTGGAGAGATCGGCTCCTTAATGAGGGACAGCTTATCGACACTGACAAAACACCTCTGGGTAAATGTTCAAATAGATATCTGGACTAAGTAGGGGTACAGCCTCATTGGTCATTTTGTACGATGTGTTTCTGGTTTAAGTTAAATCCGATACAAGAATACTTTGTAGACAAATTCGTTGAAACCAAGATTGTATAACAAATTGAAGCGAACTTTTTAAAATACCCTTTGTCCCAGGCTGTCAGTTTGACTGTGGTGGAACAGTTTACCCATGGGGCTCCTCACTACAAGACTCAAACTGTGGCGTCTGCACGTGCAAGAGAAAGGGAAAACTTAACTACTTCTTTAAGTGCACCAATCCAGAATGCGAGACGAGCGCAACCTGCAATTAAAGTGGACTACCATCTTCGAATGACTTTTACCTTGACAGAATTAGTGCCAATATATCTCAGGAAGCTTAAGATATATTTCTAACACTAGGAGGAGACCTCTTCATGTAGCATGTGTATGTAGCATGACGCAAAATTCTGACTGAAACTTTGTTGGAAACTAATATTGTAATTTTCCCAATTCATTTTGTCACCCATATTAATATTTGTAACCCATACTTTTGAATCACTGTTTGCTTGGCTTTAATAACATTAACTGATCAATGATCATCAAATTGAAATTTTGATTTTGAAGATCTAAAAAAATTGCATATTTACAGATTAGATTAATCGAAATAACTTAATTCATTTCTTCGCTGACTCTAAAAGTATTAATTGAAATAGCACTTCGAGGGTGATCCTCACATAAGATTGAAATGCTTTTTTTTTAGTTTGAGCGAGCACGATGTTTTTGATTTCAGAAGTTTTATCACCACGAAATGTTACGGTTTCTGGGTTTCATTTCTCTGATCATTAACAGAATTTCCAGCAAATTTTAGTAATTATTAAAAAGTCTGCTCCAAGTCACCAGCTTTCAAATCACTTCCTCACGAAAACAGAGCGTTTGAGCGCTCCAAATCAAACCTTCAATTTCATACCAAGACTACCACACTGCCAATTACTCATGGTTTATCGCTCGTTGAAAAACAGCCATCTAAAAATCCCAGACAGCCGCTATCCTCTTTCATTGCACGTGGCTCCAAGTCCATCGCTATCATCACAGCTTTGTCGAATACTTCTTTTACGTTTCTCTGAGTAACTGACGAACATTCGTAATAATGACATCCAAGATCTCTTGCTAACTGCATACCTGCGGAGGTTGTACATCTTTTAACTTATTGATCGATCGATTTAATTAAGTTTGGTTTCATTATTAATATGCTTTAGAACACTAATAAATTGTGGCAATGCCATGAATTGCCCCAACGACCACCCTATATCTGTAAAGCTGTGTAAAGGCACTGAAGGTGGTCGCTACGATTTCATATCAATTTTTCATCTACCGTCCGAAGCACTTTAAACAAACCTTCATTTTTTGGCACATGGTAAGGATTGATGCCTTGTCTCATATCAGATTGACAACCGACCATCACAAATGCTATGTCTCCCCGTAATCTTCTTAACTCGTTTAACCAAAACTAAGATAACTGTGATAAGAAACGGGGAATATCTCAATTTCCTATAAATAATAATGTGTGGACGATCCCTGAGTGAAATCGATCTTAAAGTACAAACATTTTCCCCTTCAGAAGCACCAATTTTATAGTCGACTCTGAATTTGTTGAAAATGTTGAATTGAAATACCTGTTCAACATGTTGAAATGTCTTTCTGTCGATTAAACTGAAGCAAATGATAAAAACATCAGCCTTGTTGTACAGCATGTGCCTCACTCCTGCATGCTCTCTTGATCCTCCTGTATCGTGTATATTTACCTGCAATGTTTATGAGGTTCAATGAACTTGAGTTATGGGGTTGAAATCGCGAGGTTATCTTTGCAAAGAATATGGACTGACTCAGTCATAAAAGACAAGTTCCCACGTACCACTCAATTAAAAAACAGCTGAGTTCGTCAAAAGGGTGATTAAACGTTATCATAATTGCCCTTGTCTTATTCTAATATTGGGTTTCTAATTAAGTTTCTCATGATTAGGAACAAACTGTTATCAGATAGAGCCTTATCGAATCAAAAACGTGGTCATGCATATGGGAAAGAATATTGTATGCTTTTTAAAAGAATTGTGGGTGATTTTGGAGATATATCAGTGAAAATCATGGTTTCGCTATATTGGCCCACAAGAATATCAATACATCCTTGTAAATATCAATACATCCTTGCAAAGCTAAGGAAATCAATAATGCTAGTTAATAATATAATCTTTAAAAACGTAAGTTGTTTTATGTTTACCTCAATCTTCTCTTTGTTAATTCTGAGGTTGTGAGTGTAGGAGTGTCCCACTGTTATCTCATAATCTTCAGGGAACTCCCCTGCGGTTAGGAATCAGAGGTTAAACTCGATAACATCAGAGGAAAACTTGTTAGACCCCGAAAAGAAAACAGCAGAAAGAAAAATAACTATCACCAGGTTCGATTCTCTTAAATTTAATGTGTGTTACCCGTAGTCTATTAGTATCACACCTAAACACGATATGAAACTACTTATTTTGACCTATATTGTATAAATGCCCCACCTGTTCCGTACGTCTGTATAAGACAAGTTTTGCCGACTTTTGAGTCGCCAACCACCACAAGACCAAGTCCGTAACTCATCTGAAAGGGAGGACGGTCATTTGGCGGTCACTTTGGTGTAGTGAACCGTTCATTCCAACTTCAAAAGACGTAGACAGGGTACCGGAGGATTGGTACTGTAAACAATCATTAAAAATAGCTCGGAAACTTTAGGAATCCTAGCCGTGGGAATCCAGGCTGTCTAGCCGTGATATTAAAAACGTGGCACTTTTCCAGTAAACTGTCACTTATATTTGTTAAAAGTTTTTAGAGAGGGGAGGAGTGTGACACGCAGGAATATTAAAATGTGATGATAATTGCACGTACCAACAGTGAACTGATGAACAAGTAGATAAAGACAAATTACAAACAATGAAGTCCCGGAGTATATGTAATATGTGTTAGAGAAACAAGACAAGTGGTGTTACACCGATGTTCAATATAGTAGCAAAAGAAGAACACTGTCAGTGTCATTACAGTGAGTATTGAGAGAGAGAGAGCGTGGATATCCAGTGTATGAAAGGATCGTACGTGTGAAAGTGAAAGCACGAAGTGAACTGACATTTGACAGCTAATCTGAGTAGTTATTAGAGCACCAGGCACCTTCCCTCATAATTGGGAGGTACTTGACATGGGGCTACAGGGAGAGGAGAGAGTTTATTAGAGTAACACTATTAGGTGCATTCCTGGATCAGTGACAATCGTATTATCAGCTCATTGTTTAGCACTGAAAACGTGGCAACCGTCCACAAGAGGTACCATGAGAGGCAGGAACCAACATCTGCATACAACAATCACAATATATTATTAAGTTAAACTTAACGTATTACATAATCCTAACTAAACGATATGTACTCGAGAACCTACCCCATTGTATACAATGTACCATTAATTTGGGGTCAACAACAACACAAAAACTGACGGCCGATGAAAGCTGAAACTTACCAAAAGTTTTGGCTCGTGGAGTCTGACATAAGGCATTCACCGAGCTGCAGATGAGTATACGCACGCCCAAGCACACCTACAGCTAGCACTGTACTAATTTGGTTTAACTACGATATGTCAGTTATGATATCGAACTGCAGTATAAGTACCTATTTATACAGAAATGGAACTGTGTATGAGAGAGAGGCATCTGGGCATGCCCGAAAAGGGAGCTCAGTTAATCTCTCACATTTCCCTTAATTTGATTTCCCATATTCATCAAATTTGGGCAGTCCGCAATCCGCAATCACTGGTATTCATATTAAAGTTATGGGAGAGTGTGCGTGTAGAATTTATATTGAAATTCATTGAGAGGCATGTGGTAAAATAGGATGTACTTTATGATTATCTAGAGTGCCGTGCAGGAGCTTGGGGAGCAGGTTCAAATACTTACTCTAAACAAACTAGTAGCATAGTTTATAGTTACTACCGGTATCTACCAAACAGGGTGACGATAGGCCCTATGTATACGGTTTTAAAATTAAGCAACCTGATAAAGTTTAAAAGTATAACCATAATCTAATTTTATACAAGATAATCGTGATCAAAGTCCAATATTAGCAAAAATATGTACAAAGCGGTCCGAGAGTCCGATGCTACAAGCAAGACTTTATGCGACGAAAATAACGTCCAATAAACGGATTGCACGACAAATGTAATCAATACTGAACACGCTACACATCCTGCCACGATCATTGATATTAAAGCATTAAAACTAGAATTACATAGTCGCCACTAGTACTACCCCAACCTGTGACAGCCTGTCTAACACACAGACGAAATACTGACGATTGTTTATTTACATTTCAATCAAACGGTTGTTATAAATCTGCACACGTGCTATATGTGTGGATGATCTATAAATAGCATGCAGCAGCTGTAACAAGAGAGCCCTACCTGGAATGTTCCCAACTATTTATACATCGCAGAGAATTAACTAAGACAACAACCAGGACTACACCGCATTAAGAGACATTGCAATTACACCTTACATACCTCACAAGGGAGCTAACAATGTTTCCGATCAGGACCCCGCGTGTGTGTGTGTGTGTGTGTGTGTTGGGATTACCTACCTCAACCTGGAGGACATTTTCCCTTTAACTTCACGTATTGGATTTTCAAACATCATGGAAAATGTGTATAAACGAGTTGTGCGGCTAAAGAACGGGCTCGCTGCGTACCGACCGTTATACGTGTATGGAAGTCCTCTGATCTAGTAGCAGCTGTATTGAACAAACACTGTAAACTTAACATTAAATGCTTTTCTTGATCATGCCAGTGTACAAGCATAATCTTGTCATGAACCAAAATATCATTACATCTTTGTAATTACAACATGAATTCTGTAACTGGAATCATACGATGACTTGGTAATTCGTTATATCACCTCATTATTTTATTGACACGTTTTCAGTCTTAAAACTCTTTTCGTATCTTGCAACTATAAATCACATCAGAAAAGTGCACCAAAATGAGATCATCAGTATTTTCAGAGAACACGTTGTTTGGGAGCTGCAGTCAACACAGTTTAAAACAGAGCTCCCTGCAGTTAATATCATAATTTTCGAGGCTATGGTAACCAAAAATCAGATACAGGTTTAATTTAATTCTCTTACAGTTTAATTTGATAGATTGTACACATATAAGATCTGCGATTCAACGGCCGGAGTGGGTCAACGTGATAGGCCCAAAAAGAGGATCTGCACTAATACTCGAGGGTGAGAACGGTTTGAGTTTCGAGATAGAATAAACACTGCATTGCGTAGATAATCGTGAGTAATGTGAAAAGCATTTCATTTGTCGAACGATCGAAGGAATCTGGTCTGAACTTCAAAACAAACACATTATCAAATTAAAACAACTATCTTTCAAACAGGTTTTTTAAAAATACTCAAAAACGGTTAAAATTTAAATCTAAACGCATATTAGATATGATGGATGGTGAGCACTATTCAATGAACTGCTGACAATTTCCGGTAAAAATCGCCAATAAACCCACCTTCTTTACATCCATCGTGAGCGAAGGTATGTGACACAACAGATAAGTCAATATGAAGGTTTTAACAGTCCATAAAGTAAACACAACATTATCTGGGAAGCACATTCCGGGTCCCATAACTCCATAAATCGAATCTGCCACGGAATCACCAGATCCACGTCAGCGCTGAGGAGAACGTGCGTGACACCTCTCACTGCTTAATAACCCACTTTCAGGGCACTCGGCGCCAGGAATCCTGCTAGTAGTGAGCTGTTCTCGCAGGATTGTCCCAGTTATTGTGCAGCGTCACAGAAGCTACCAGGGAGGGACAGCGCGACACGAGGAAACGCTTTAACTTTTTATAGGGGCAACTTTATACACAGCTGCATAAGATACACATGTTAATGAGGCATTATTCTCTCCATTGATTATTACATGCAACATTGCAACATTTGTAGAAAGTTGTCATAGGTTCATCTGCAGACCGCGTTTGAATCTGCATAAAATAAGCGCGCTTGTGCGAACATTTGGGGCAATCCGCTTCCGTCGAGTCCACATTCTCCCAAGCTTCCTGAAATGAACTTAATATTACAGCCTGAACGTCATGCAATTACACATTGCCAAGCAATATAATATTATACGAAAAGTTTTACATGCCAAATGACCTAGTGTAGAGGAAAGGCGATGCTCTAAAGTATTTGGGTACTATGGTGAATGTTTGGCGACGTGCCAGCCCTTAATACTGTGACAGATACATCTAAAAGCATCACCATATCACCATACCTTGCCGCCTAGCACGTCATCCAGCTCCTTCAACTTGTAATACACTCTATTGGTGATCTTCTGCTCGATTTGGTGCACAAAAGTACACGTTTCACACACGAAATCCAGACCGAGCTCGCCCTGGCCCACGGTCAAGGCGTTGGAACACAGCGGACAAAACAGCAGCATGGCGGCCTACAGTTCGGAGATTTAATTTGAGTCATTGTAAATAAAATATATATCGCAGTGGGAGTGTAAAAGTGTAATGTAGACGACATTTACTGTGCAGTAAATTTTTACGTACATAGAAGGCATAATAGCAAGGCGAGGTGCTGGCATTTTCTGCTCTCTCTCTCTCTCTCTCTCTCTCTCCCTCTCTCTCTCCCTCTCTCTCTCTCGTCACTCTTCAGGGCCGTTCTCAATTTACATTACTATTATCATTTTTTGAGTGTGGAGCACCAGGTTGCACAATGCCCCGACTTGACAATGGTAAAAATTTTGATGAGGACCCCGGATTAACGTGTTTAAATATTTGGGGGTAAGAATATGGCGTACAAGACTTTACAATGGAGTTAGAATTATTCTGGGTATTGAAGTGTAAATTGATAACTTGTTCAATGGAGGCAACACACACACACACACCCACATTATATACCATAATATGTAGATAGGTTGTGTATAATACTTACAGAGGACACTTAATTACATGTTATACTCGTTATTTACTCCACGTGATAATATTACAGCTCAGTAAAAACTCTCTCATTACATCACTTGAACAGCTATAGTACTACGCAATACACAATAATATCATGTAAGTACATACTACATTGTTAGTACAATGTACATTTGTGAAATGCATGACTAAATTTCAGTGCTGCATTCCGGAGAAGCAAGTGTAAGTACATTACTTTAAAAACACTTCACCAAACACATCACACCTAATATTACGTTTGTTGTTTTCTCAACTCTTGCAATGCTTGATTTCGTGATCCCATTTACGGTTAACAACAGCTCCAGTACTAATCCTACCAATAATACCTTCCAAAGATCAGGACTAAACGAATCATACCCAGGATCACGTACCAGTGATGGTGCTCCCTTTCAACAAGAAGGCGACACACAATCACTGAATCATGGTCTTTACTTCCTATCGTTTGCAGTACTGACAGGACTAGCTGTGGTCCTGATATTAGTCCTAAAGTTTATCAGGCATTACAATGATGACAGGAGGGCCGCGAGGGAGGATCAACTGAGAACTGTAACTTGGATGGAGGGAGAGAGTGAGTCCGACAGGGAACAAGTCCAATCTTTAGTAGCACAGTAAGTATGGTAATGACGGTGAACATTGACAGTGAACACTTTAGCAGGCAATGTATTTAACTAGTGCACGAACATTTCCATTGTATACACTACTCTCATAAATGACCAGAAAATACATGTAATACTGCGGCCGGACAACATTTTGAGTGTACTGCACAACACAAGTACTCTGTTCTTAATTACGCAAGCTAGAACCTTCCAGAGAAAGAGTACAGGAATCTTAGGATGAGTAGTGTACTCTCAAAACTAATTTTACATTCATCATCCTCCGCAGAGAGCTATACATGTATTTAACATCAAAACTAATTCTCTAATATTCCTACTGAGCACAATGACTTAACTGTAGCTTGTGGTTTTGCCTAATTTCATGGACTGCTAAGCAGTACTCTATATAGGATATATACTAGGTTTACATTTTAAAAAACCTATTAGGGCGCACACTAGGCTCATAACCTTGAACAACTACATCCGGGTTGCGGGAGATGAAACAGGAAATCCCAAATTTAGCCAAAAATGGCCAGTTCTCAGGCCAAGTCAGTGTTGTAGTATTTCATAACCCTTTATATTTCCAGAGAGGACCATGTACGTGGAGTGTTGCAGCTTCATGGCAACGTCAGGGACAGTGTTGAACATCTTACCCAACAACCTAGCAACATGACGTCACGAGTAAACAGCCAATCAGAACCCGTGACGTCAGAACACAACAACCAATCAGCGAATGACAAAGACGTGACGTCACGGTACAGTCTTGAGTAGTTTGTGGCAGGAGATAGCTACTATTATAGGGACTGACACCTGACAAGTGTGAGCTTACCTCTGTGGACATATTATTATGTAGACAAATATGAGCCTTGTGGGGGCGAGTTTGTGGAAAGTAGGGGATGGAAAATTTTGATTTTGTGGTTTGAGAACGACCCTGGCCTTCAGCCTTAGAATATTTCATGATTAAATAAGTTTTTAAAATTCTTGGCATGTAAATTTTAACGGATCAGGTTTGACACAATAAATCAACAATGTAATCTATTCATTTAAGAAAATAAATTATAATGTGTTATTTTCAATGTGAAAATTACAATCGAAAATAGAATTCAATAAACAACAGAACGAATAGAACGTGTGGCAATGTTTCGTAGTGATCCAGGGCCGGGTGAATAAAGATCAACACATTATCCCGGGAACATCATATTATCACCATCCATTTTATCAGTTTCAACCTTTTACGACAAATTTAGGCTACACAATTGTGTCACTAAGAGTAAGAAAAGTTATGATTAGATAAACCAAAATTTTGTTGAACACGGTCTGGAAGTGATAACTGATAAAAAACAGATGGACGGACCGCTCTAAGAACCACATCCAATCAACAATCTTCATTCTTGCATACTGCTAATCAACGTATCAGCCCCAAGCTATAATGTTAAATAATATCCAAATAGTTACGCGGGGATTACGTCTCAAAAACAGCCAAAACTCGGGGGTCGCTCGCACGGCGGGTATAATATATTATATAAACAATTCTATAACTTAGTATTAATGCAACTTTATGATAACAGGAAAAACGTGATTTACACAGCTTCTCGTGTGGTTATATTCTATAAATCAATATAATTTACTTCTTTAACTTTTTCAAAAAACCCTGAAGTACTTCACCAACCCTACTCGACAGTTTATTAATTAATCGTTATAAACTTAGCAAGGTTAGTGTCGAGGAAGTGTAGGAAAAAACACCTCAAGTGCGGTTATCAATAAAACATTCTATTGTCTATTAAAGCTGTGCTTAATTCTCAAACCCGGATTAAAGCCCTGTTTGAATTTATTCGCTAAAATCAGGTAAAATAATGCAAATGTAGGTGTTGCTGCCAGCGGTGAGGTCAGGCATACAATCTAGACAATACAAATTAATTGCATACTGTAATAAAAATGCGGCGGGAATAAAACAAAAAGAGTAGTACAGCCAAAATATGTAGAAAGTAATGAAATGTGGTCTATTAGTCTATTAGACCAAGTTTTCTAAAGTTTGAGTGTGTTTTGGCTCGCCACCGCTAGCAGCAACGTCTACGTATTGTAAAACATGAGCTCTCGTAACAGTTAGTGTGTGTAATGAATGGTTCAGCAAACAATTATCATGTACAGCCTGCACTCGGGTCAGTTATAATTTTAATCCAGCTAATTTGATTTTAGTTTGAAATTTAGCGTTTAGTTCATTAGGTAGATCAAAGCGTGGAGCGTTGTTCAAAATGACCCGACATTCAAGATATATGATAAATGAGAGGGGTAAAATTACTAAGAGTTGTAAGTTGTCAAATCGGGTAAAACAGTTCGTAATAAATTACAATGATATTTAAGTCTGATCCAGCCTTATGGTAAGATGAGACGTCGTGCAGTCCTACGATGGTACAGGTCAGAAGCTACTACTGTACCTACTACTGTACCTTATACAGTACCTTTTACAGTACTTTTTACAGCACTGTCATTCCCTAATACCTTTGCACACTTCTACAAAATTCAAAATATACCTATTATTATCATAGATCTCATAGTACAACATTATGAATGTCCAATTTCAAACAATAAAAATCTTAAAAGTTCCGAAAGTTTTGATACTGATTGAAGTTACTGTTGGGCGGATGGGCGGATGCTCCGGGAGCTGTGGACATTTGAGCGGAAGAGTTGAACCCCGAATGGTCGGGGTATAGTGAAGTCGGGAACATTTCAGCGCTGTAGGGTTGGGTGACTGGGTACTGCGGCATTCCGAAACCAACGTTAGGGTTCATTCCCACAGCAGCGGGGTCAGGCTCTTCTCCCTTGACCATCACAGCCTGTTCCAAGGGGTCCTGTTTAATAAGTGTACTGTTCGGACCAGAATAAATGCTGCCTGCGTCAAAGCTGGTGACTGGAGGGTACTGGAGACTGTTATAGTTCAACTTGGGAGTGGAGGGTTGGTCGGGTGAGTAGTGTGAGAGTGGAGCCGCTGCAGTGGGGGCAGACTGCACATAACCGGTGCTCTCTGTACTGTACTGACAGGGCACTGGCGCCTGTCCTGGAGGGATGACACTGGAGCAGTGCTGAAGTTGGTCCAGTTGAGCTGGTTGCTGGACTGTGTGTGGCTGGAGACTTGGTGGCATCATCGCTAACTTAGCTGCTGCATTGCCAGGAGGATACATACTTCCATCTGGGTAATAGAAGTATTTTGTGGGGGAGGTTTCGTCACCAGGGTTAGTTGGAAATTGACCATCTGGCTTCGGAAATCCGGGGAAGTTGTGAGGATGTGTTGGAGATGTGAAAGGACTGGTAACCGGTAGTGCATTTAGTATTCCATTCATCTGAGCTTGCATGCCCGCTTTTGCCTTGGGTTTTCTGCGTTTTGGTGGAGCTTTCGGTTTGTTAGGATCTTTGGGCTTTCTTCCTCTCTTAGGTTTAGGAACCACTTGCCGAAGTTTTTCTTGTTCATCAGTCAGATCACATCCATCCAACTCGTTTAGAATTCCCAGATCTACATTTTCCAGCTGACTGTCGTCATCGATAATCTGCTCAGAACTCAAGTTTTCAGAGCTCGTAGGGCTAAAAAGTGAAGCATCAGCTGGGGATGGTGACAGTAAAATACTCGACTGACTGTTGTAAGGCGAATCGCTCAAGAACCCACTTTTTGCAGGGCTGTTAACTTGAGAGTTACTTGAGCCAGCAAAGAAATCTTCAGCTTTGTACTGAACTTCATCTGAACTGTTCCTGTTCAACATACCGTTGTTAAAGGTTGGTCCTCGTTGCAAGATGGGCTCCGAGTTTTGTCTGAAGAAAGGCTGGGGTTGGGAGCATGTTGTGGATGGTTGGTGAATCTCTGACATTCCCCGTCGAAAAACGTGACTTGAATCGTTCAAAGTAGGTTGGTTTTTAGGATAAAAACCCACTGTACTGTCAACGGTTTTATCCACGTGTGGAAAATCAAATTGTTTCAAAGTCTGAACTTTGTCGATTTTCCGTTTCTTTTCGCGCTTTTTGACCAGCCCAGGATCTTTTGGTTTCTTCTTGCGAGGAGGTCTCTCTTTCTTTACTCTAGGAGCTTTCGGACCTTTCTTATTAGGAACGTTGAGGGCCATGAGTTGAGCCGGAGTCAGTGCAAGCCTCGCACTTTCAGGAGGTAAGTGCATGAAGTTTGATAGAGCCATCTTGTTTCCAACAAGAGGCTGCTGAAGGAACTGATTGGGAGGACCACCATTGGTGTTACCTCTATTCGGAAGCCCATCAGGGTTGCTTGAAGACCTGCAGTACATTGGGGGTGGTGATTGGTAAGGCGCTGATTTTAGTGATGAAGGGGGTGGGGTGGGTTCTTTCTTCACCAACATTGGAGGGTTCAGACGAGGCAATGTGTTTGTTGACATTGGAGGACAGCTTTCATTGACATGGGCAATATTAAGGTTAGGCATAGCCCTAAATTGGTTTTGTGAGGTAGATGTTTTAGCAGGAACGCTTTCCAGAGCAGGAACATCGTCTAGTGATGGCATAGTACCTTCGTCATCACTGTCACTGTTATCACTGCCAGAACCGTTCAGCGAGGAACTCCTCTTCCGCTTGTTACTCGCATCAGGAGACTCAGAGCTGGTCGAGGTTGGTGTTGCTGTGGCCGAAGGGATCGGTGTAGGTACTTCTGTTGGTGAGGTTGAAGATGGGGGGCTGCAGATTTCCACTTTTGATTCAATTTGAATAGGTGTAACTGTTGGCATCTCGTTTTCTGGAGGAGAAATAGGCACCACTTCCTCTGGCTCCTCTTTGATTATAGGTGAGAACTGGGTCTCAGGCGTTGTCTCCTCTGTGCAACCATTCTCTTTAGCAGAAGGGGATTTAGGATTTTCTGGTATCACATTTGATGTAGCAGGATCAGGTGTGGTAGATAAAGTAACTGAAGGTGGTCGATCTAGTGGCGAAACGATGGTTGGTCTAGATGGAGGACACGCAGGCTTTTCCATTGACAATTTTGGTGCAGTTTCAACAATACTTGGGCTCACATCATTACTCGAGAGAGGTTTTGGAATCGCAGGTTTTGCCACTATTTCTTTAGAAGAGGCCGATTTAGCAGCAGTCACAACGGATGGAGACTCGGACGTGGTTGCTGAGGTTGTTGCACTAGCCTCGCTCTTAGGTGGTCCTGGAATCTCAGCTGGAGGATTGTTCTGGTTAGGCTTGGCAACAGCTTTAAGTAATATCTCCCTGATTTTGGCCGAGTTTTCTTTGCTCTTGACGGAATTGTTGATCATTGTCAAAATTTGAGAAACGTTTGGATTGGCTTTACTGGTGTGGTTCTTCTCAGCCATCTGTGTAATAAACGATGCTACTGCTTGTCTTACTGCAGTTTTGGCAGCGTCATTGACCACGATTTTTTCAGACTGAATCGGAGGTGGTACCTCAGCTGGATTTGCAGGTTCTTTTTCCGGAGCCTCGGGTATTTTGGTAACAGCAATAGGTTCTGGTTCCTTAGTTGGTGGAATTGGCTGGGTAGCTTGAGATGAGGTTGCTTTTTCGAGGTCTTTCTTTTTCTGTTTTTCCAATTCAAGAAGAGCTGCAACTTTTTGAACTTGTTCGAAATCATTAATCAGTTTGTTGGCAGTTTCATATAAAGTGCCTGGCTCATCAACAACCCTAGGATCGCAAATGGCGATTTGCTGAGGAACAGTAAGCTTGAAGAGCTTTAAGATAACCAGGATAGCTTCATCAACTGGCTTTGTTTCCACACCAGATCTCACATGGATGTTCTTAACTTTGATGCATAGCTTCAGCAGCTTGATTGAATGTTCGGTTGTGTGTTTTCCAGGCAGGCCACAATATTCAGACACTCTAGTACGAAGCAGGGTGTCGAACTGAGTCAAGCTGGTTTGCAGGAATGGAGTCACATCCCCTACAAAGTTGTTTAGCTGCTCGGCTGTTTTAACCATATTCTCGAACAACTTGATTAGATTACTGATGTCTTTACAATGGGTAAGAGATGCGATAATCAGTGAGAGACTTTTCCTCATGTGTCTGAAGAATCCACCAGGTCTATCCACGGTGTCGACAGGAATTCTCCAGATACCCAAGAACAGATGTTTTCTAGTAAATAGGAACATTCCACTAGAGTTGGAGGAATCTTGAAGCATCAGTGACTTTGCCTTCACATATTCATCAGAATTTGTGGTAGAGGAGTCGTGGATAATTTTACAGAGAGCATTACGGATCTTGTAGTTCTCTGGCCATTTGGAGAAGCACTCTTCAAGTACCATCAACACGATTTTGCTTATCGAAGAGTTTTCAAACTCTTCAATAGTTGTTTGGGGACACATCAACAAAACTATCGGTTTCAGGTTAGATAACAATTTCTTCTTTTTGGAAGCGTCCTTTGTTAGCTCAGGGTATTCGGTAGATCGTTTGTAGATGGAATACGAGATTCTAAAAACCAGTTCCATACACTCCATAGAATACTCAACTGGAGAACTTGTGTTAACTTTCTTGGTAACAGTTTGGTTGTACTCCTTCAAGTCGTTCAGAGCCTGTAAATAATGATCCAACCAAGCAAGGTCTTTGCTATTGAGCTTTTCAGATATCTTCCCTAGCATGAAACTCTTGACCCAGCTGGATGGTTTGATCGGATCAATTCCTTTCAAGAGAACCTCCTTAGCCTTAGTTATCAAAGTTAATCTCTTCAAGTCGATTTCTTGGATAACTGCAACATTGTCAGCAAGAGCTCCAGCAACTTGGTTGTAGACGGAAGCTATGGTGTACAGGAAGATGGAATATTCCGATGCTACATCAAATGACGTGGATGAGCTTGACATGTAATGGTCAAAACAGAGAACTGCTTTTGGGGCTATTGACTCAATCACGACCTTCAGATCACTTTTGGCATGGTTGAAACGATCTTCTGCAATGCTCAACCAGCAAAGTCCAAGACATAACCATGACTGGATCCTGTCGGGATTGATCGCTAAGTCACAAACAAACCAATCAATAGCTTGTAAAAATTCTCCATACTTCCACAGATAATCCCCACACAGATAATAAATTCCTCTGAAATTCTTCCTTTCAGTCGTTATCTCTAACCCCTTGTAGGAGGAAATCTTGCCTTGTTCCATAGACAACTTTATCATAACGAAAAGATCTGTCTTCGAGATGTCTTCCTCAAACAACCCGACGGTTTGTGTCAACAAATCAAACGTGTCAGCAGAGAGATGTTTGGCTTTCTCCATCGGATTGAACATTACGCTGGGACAGTAAAACTTAAAAACTTTGAGAGAGATCTCCAAGGTAAGTCTAGTGTGAGAGGCACCGTGTTCAACTCTGTTCTTCTTTGATCTCTTAGACCCAGGTCCCGGGTGCCCAATGTAGCAAAATGTCGCCTGCTCAATAAGATCAGTTGCATCCTCTATGAAAATATTCCTGACCTTGTAATTGTAACAACAGTCAATAACATAAGACAAGAACACGCCATTGTTGAGGGAGCAAAGACTGTGCTCTCCGAGAAGGTCATGACACATAGCAAGAGACTGAATTCTAGCAACATTCGTGCTCACAACATCTACATCAGACAGCCCCTGCAGGACGCACTTATCTATAATCATGTGGTAGATCATCAGCGCTCGGTCAATCGGGTAATCTGCTAGAGATGCCAGAGCTGTTCCTTCTTTAAACAGGGTCTCAAAGAACTTCACGATAACTTTCACGATGTTACTCATGGCTCTACTGTGACTGATGATGCCTGCATGGAAGTCACAATCGAGAAGTGAAGCTGATAAAGATTTCAGTATTTTCGTTAACAGGGACTTGCAGATATCAGTAAACCTCAGGAAAGGTACAATTTCATGGAGAAGTACTTCAGCACATTTCAAGCAGTTCTCCATCATGGACAGCTTTTTCAGAGATTCTAGGAGAATTAGCAGGTTCTTGTGCCTTATAGGAATCTGAGCATAGTCCGTTTTGAGATCGTGATTCGTTTCATCGAGCATGGGTTTTAATAGCTCAACTACTCTCGAGTAATTCTTCTCTTTGAACAAATTGGTTACATTTTCTCGCTCTTGAACCTCGATAAGGCTAACTCGTTGTTTGTCCAGAGACTGCTCATTGATAAATGGTACAGCATTATTAGCAATGACAAGTTCTTCCATTTGAGCATTCTTTTGCTTGGCTAAACTGAGTTTAGCGAATTCTAGGGAGCACTCCACATTTGCTAGCTTTTCTTCGTACAGACAGTAGGCCCACGCATACCTTAGCTGGAACGAGTCGTACAAATTACTTGTTGAGAACATCTCCTTGATTCGTTCGTGCTGATTGGCGGTCCTCAGGAACTCTAGATCTTTATCCAAAGCTCCTTTAGTTATGAAACTTTTTATATCCAAGAAATACTGATCCTCCAAGTTGACTCCTGGAAAGAGATTATAGTTGACAATGATTTCAAAGGCACACATGAGGGTCAAAACATTCTCCTCGGTGTCCTGCTGTTCAAAGTTTTGCAGAATGTTGGGCAAAGCTTCGTACTCTCGATAGCTAAAATAAACGTTCAAAAACGATTTAGTGACCGTTCTGGACCACTTTTCGTGGAAGTGGGCCGAAAGCTGGTTACAGTAATTTGTCATAAGAGGAACCAAAAGAACAGTCGTGTCTTGGACATCGGTTATCTTCTTTAAAAGTTCGTACTCGTCAATATTTGAAGGCTGTCTTTTCTGTTGGTCGGAAGAGTTGGTGTTTTTAACCAGCGAAGTCGATTTTGGCGAGGAATCTTCGGAAGAAAACTTTAGGATATCGGGAATCCATGTATCAAGTTGTGATGTCAGAGATTCGAGAGGGTCGTTTGCTTCTGACTGAAGATCTTGTACTCTTTTAGACCTTCTCTGTCCTTCTTTCCTCTCTTTGGTTTCGATTTCTTTTGCAAGTTTAGCATCAGTCTTGATAGGAGGCTCCAGTTCTGAGCTCACTCTTTCTTTTTTTTTAACTTCTTCTTCTTTGGGCACTTCACATGGGACAACTTCTGGGGCCTCTTGTGAAGGCTCTGGAGGCGGTGGTTCTTCTGGTTGGTGTTTGGTTAACAAGATTTCAAGATTGCTTTTTGAGAAGTCAACCGGGCAGAATAGTGACAAATCTTCTTCTTTACTTTTGACAAAGAGCTCACAAATAGCAATGCCAAGATCGGCTAGAGGGTCTTTGAGGCACAACTCACGGAGACATAAGACAGGATCAGTCTTCAAAGACATTGACTGTTTCTTGGCTTGCTGATCCTTTTCTCGTAGTTCTTTGGGATACTCCATTTCCTTGTCAGTGGCAGATTCTGAAGGTTTAAGATCGGCTAAACCTTGTTTCCAACTAAAGTTTTTGAAAAGAAACGGGTCTTCTTCTTCTATTTGAGCTTTTACGCAAAGTGCTCTTTCAAAGTTGGTATTAAGTGACAGCGAGTGTTGGATGAGATGCAGGCAAGAAATGTAGTCACCAAGAGCATAGAGTAGACATATCAATGTATCAATACTCGGCCAAAACGAGGGGTTAATGTTGAGGCACTCTTTAAGAGAATCACAGGCCAAAGTGTAGTTCACCTTCTTGATCGCAACATTTGAAATATTGTACCAGGTGGTGATATCCGTTTTATCAGAGCTGACCGCCTCTAAATAGCACTCGAGAGCATCATCGTAGTTTGATGTGTTCTCGTGAACCTTGCCAAGGTTCTTGTAGATGGAAGTGAGGAGCTTTACGGCGGGGTCGTTGAAGAAGTCAGCGCCGGAGAAGGTGTCATCGTCGAAGTTAAAATAGGGGTGAAGAAGGAGCTCCTTCAGGGACTTCTCTGCAAGCTCGTTTTCTTTATTCTTGATAAATGTGAGGGCTTTGTTGTACTTTTGAAATGCATCGGATTCTACGACCTCTTTATTTTGTCGTGAGCTTCCTGAAATGTATTTGTATGATAGAATTTGAGGTATAGTAAACAGTTGGTCTAGACTAAATTAAAGAACTAAAATGCTCAAAAGCGGTTCAGATCAAGCCGAAAGTTCCAATTTAAGATCTTTTTATGATTTAGGTTTTTAGTCTGAATTATAAAAATCTGGACAGACCACTCTAACTAAATACTCTAACTTTAAGAAGCACTTTTTTACAGTCACAGTGATCAGAAAATTGTTAAAAACCTGAGCTGTCTTCTTCTGTTGCGTTTAGAGCAGCAAACTTTATCATCAATTTACCTAAAATGACAGGAGATTAATTCAATTTTATCAATCAAGAAATTAATTCTAAAGTTTGAGAAAGAGGAATTAAATCAGAGTAAATATGTCCCATGGTTCTAAAATGCTTTTAATCGTCTATCGATATCCAAATATTAATTACAGGGCCCATAACCTAATTTTCCGATAAATGTTAATGTCAACATCATGGTAACCAAGCAGGAGCAATAAATATATTGAACTAAAACGTATACACATGTACATAATTGCAGTATACATACACATTACACAATAGACATGTATTACACACGTGTACTGATAATGTAACCCTTAGATTAACTGAATAAGTGTACATAAATGCTCAATAATAGAGAAATGAGCCATTTATGGTAAATTGGGATTTGACTGTCATTAAAAGACTGCGTGTTGGAGATACTACAAATTCATCTCATCGCTATAGAAAGTACAAAGCAGGTAAAGTAAAACCCCGATATACCGCGGCCGTTTCCTTTCCCCCAAATAGGGCTAAACATACATAATGTAAACCAAACAAAACCCCGATTTACCCCGCCCCCCGATTTACCGCGGATGTTTCCTTTCCCCCAAACTCCGCGGTAAATCAGGGTTTTACTGTACATGATAAAATCACAAGAAATAAATCAGGACTAACCTCAAGTCGGGCAAACAAAATGCTGGATAAATGTCTTGGAAACCGTCAGTATCATCCTACATCAACAAACAGCTGGTTAGCATAAATTATAAGAGATCATAATACTATAATAATATATCGTTACATACTGTACTACAGCTGGTTAACTGTATTGGACACGTAAACTGTAAAGAATAATGAAATACCTACATTATAACGCAAAGCCTGGTGAGGCCGAGGCGGGGGTTGTGAACAAAGTAAATAGATTTAGTTCAGGTCCACTACTAACTACACATATCAGACTGTATTACACAACACACACGAGTCACACGAGACGAGGGGGACAGCAACATCAGCCGAGTGCCAGTTCGACTATCAGTACACACACTAGTACAACTCTGACAAAGGTAAAGTGGCGACTGACTTGCAGTACATTTAAATATAGTATATATATTGAGCGGGGATCTATCTTACCTCCACCCCGAACACCTGGTCACAGTAAAATATCACGCTGAGTACACAAAGGAGTGGGGACCAACACACACACACACACACACACACTCTCTCTCTCTCTCCGAGTATGTACACCTGATCTCTGAGATCTGTGTTGTGGTAAAACTGTAATATGACATTGGAAATTTAGTCTCTGTCGAGTCATTATCCGATTATATTCGTAATGTGCTGATTAGCGGGAGCGACATTCCAATAAAACACGGCCAAGAAAGTTTTAACATGTAACAGAATTTGTAATTTGTAACGAATACATTAATAAATTATTGATTGGTTCGATCCAGTTATAAAATAGCGATAACAATTCTACATTAAAAATCTTAAATTTTATTTCATAATATTCCCACTTTAAACTGGTAAACTTTAAAAAGGATGTAATCTCATTATCATGATTATGAAAATCCGCAACAAATACAATTAATCACACCGAATTGTCAAAACAAAGCAGGGCGATAGCTAAAGGGCAAAAAAGGGTCGTAGAGTTTACTATTTGTTTTAAAATTAACATAATATAAAAGCCAGAAATCGTAGATTAGAATGCAAAACCGCATCATTTCCGTCAGTCACGACTAAAGTTGAACTGAAATACTTAAAAAAACAAATATTTATAAAAAATCACATCTTCATCGAATAAAATAGGTTTAAAACATGCCTTACATGTCAAGAGGTATTTGTACCGACTTCAAATAATGGGAATATTTCGACTAAATCGTAAAATTGATTGATTGCATCTACACACAAATTAAAACTCAAACTAAAAGCCAAATTACGTAGATCAATTACAATGTTTCTGGATATTCACGTCTGATTCAATTTCATGAAAGAAATAATCACAGTTCTAATACATATTGTAAAGGAATCTTTGATAAACAGCTAAATTCTAAAAAAAGAGATCACGATCGAAAGTTAGTCTCTGAACATTAATTAAGTAATTTACTTTTCGTTTAAATAACAAATATTATTGGCTTTATTATAATAGCGTCGAAGCAAATTACGGCAATTAATTATTAATAACCTTCTACAGGGCGATCAACACCACTGGAAATTAAATTATGAAAACCCAACACCTCAATCTTTAAATCTACTCCTCTTTATCAGTTTCTCGGTCATTTTTGGTGGCCAATGACATTCTGAAAACAGAAAAGTAATAGCCAGCTCCGTTCCAAGTTACAAACCAAAACAGAACGCAAATTCCCAAAACATGGAAATAGAAATAGCTGTAGAATACCATGGAGAGGGTGGAAAAGAAAAGGGAACAAATCCAGTTGACTGTTACGAACACAATGTAAGGAGGATTCGGACCAAACACCCTCTTAATGCTCTTCTTCGCACTGAGATAACGATATGAGGTGACTATGTGCTCCTCCGGTTGCAGGATGACATTAACCAGCAGAGTGTAGAGTGCTGAGTGTGTCACCATCACCAGGAAAGGTACGAGGACATTCCACTGCCAGGATGGGTCGAGGGCTTCTGTGGGGAAGCTGGCGTGCCAGTACCTGGAGGTAACCTCAGGGTACCATCGTATCCCAAAGCTCAGCAGTATCGGTACAGTGTGGATGTAGGTGGAGGTCATCTTGTCCACACTGTGGAATACCAGAGAGTTTCGGAAGGAGAAAGCGCCGAGGTAAAGCATTCCATTGGCTAAGCTAAAGATGAGGCTGCACAGCTCAGGACTAGATGGATTTAACCAGAGGATGAGCAAGATAATGAGGTTCCCAAAGTAGCAGAAGTCCAGACAGAAGTACTGGAACTGCGCTTGCCAGTATGTTATGATCCTCCAGACAATGAGGGTAGGGCAGGTGATGGCATAGTACCACGGTAAAAGCCATTGCCCAGAGCATACAGCAAAGGTTTTCAATACAAGGGTCAAAACCGATTTCGTGAATACAACTTTTTGCCGATAATTCTCTTCAGGTTCCATAGCTTTAAGCCGTTTGTAGGTCTTCTTTCGAAGTTTTAAGATTTTCTTTTTTCCAGCATCTAGCTTTTCTCGACTCTTTTCCTTGATTCTTTCCTTGCTACTTATCACAGCTTCTGTCACCTCGTCCTTCTTACGCTGGAACTCTTCTTTCACCTCAGCTTTCTTTCTCTGAATAGTTTCCCAGTCGACACTGATTTTCCTGTTCTGAAACCCCTCTTTCATAGCACCGACAAATCGATAAACATCTTGGTAGTAATCAAAGTCGTCAGCATCGTTTGGCTCAGAGTCGGACAAAACTCCGGACCCTGCTGCATCCTCATTTTCATCGTCTTGTCCTTCGTGGGACTGGGCATAATCACCCTCAGAAGAGGATGCAAAAGAGCTAGCATGGGATCTCTGTACTAACTCTTCCTCCATTTCAACCTTACAAGGTAAATTTGTTAGTACTGCAGTGATAGATCCATAGTCGATTTAAAAGTACACTATACTGCCCTATCATTCTATAATTTTTTGTTTAATATGATCATATTTTAATGAGATTGTTCGATGTAAAGAATTGGGAGAGCATGAATCGACAACTAAATGAAAACAGCTATCATTAAACTTATTGATAATCTTTGGGATTTAAAACCTAGTAAACATCAATTAATATCAAAAATAACCAACAGCACTTTATATTCCCTTTACAAGTCCCTAGCATGATCTGAAAGTGCTGCATCATAACTTTTAGTTAAACATGCAGAAATCACCACACATAACATTGAATAATGTAGCGAATATTAGGTGATCATATCGCTTTTCATTTCGATTTTTCAAAGCAATGCTGCATCGGGAAAATGCTTTAAATGTAATAATATGTTGAGGTCTATTTGAGAAGTAATATTTTAAGAATTAATTAAATTTTCAAAATGAAAAAATGAGATAAAGCAGCACATGGATATAAGATTTGTTGTTGAAATGCAAAACATAATTGCCATTTAGCAACACACAGCTGGATTATTAAAGTAGTAAAAAGAAAACATCTTACTATATATAAAGCGAGACGATATATATATGTGTATATATCCGTGCCATTTTACTGACACCACGGCATCAACTTTAACGCGACTTTCCGCAAAAACCGTAAAACATATACAACTGAAACTTTTTTGACTGGGTCAAATGCTTTAATGGCCTTCAAATCAGCATGAAAAAATAAAAAATTGGCCAAGGAATAATAATTTTAGTGCCCAAAATTTGGACTCTCAAGTGGTGTCAAAAACGCGAATTAAATAGGTAATAATTATTTTAGTCTCTCGAGTCTTGACACCACTTTAGGGTTAGACGGGTTCCTGCTAGTGATTACAAAATCTGGCAGAAATCAAAAAAGCATAGCCACCCTTTAAATGCTATCAATTATTTCATCTATAGAACCACGCGGAACACCAAATTGATCAATATTTTCTATAACCTTACAAAACAAAACAGATTCTGCAGTAAATTTATAAACACACATTGCAGGTTCTTCCATGAACATGGTTAGAGCTTGAACATTGTTATCTTGTTGTCCACATTTCATTCTCAATGTTACGTGACGGGGCAGTCCAGTCTCATCACATATGTCACCCATGAAGTAATGTAAGTCAATATAAGCTGGCTTCTTTGACGTATCCAAGGTTTTCCCTTTTTCGTTTAGGTATTCGATATGTCGGTTTTCATCCCAAATCCCCAGTAAAATTTCAGTCTTAGCACCACTCCTTTCTTTATGAAACTGTTTTAATGATTTTTGATAACAAAACTCGTATTTCCACCATCCTATACCCCCTATGACACACTTTTCAGCAGTCAAGAAGTTCCTCACAAATCTTTTTTCTGGGAATGTTAGCTGTGATTTCTTTGGTTCTGCTTTTTGAGAGTTTTGCTGAGATTTTGGATGTGGTGTATTTACTTTTGTTGTTGATTTTGAAACAAGTATTGGTTCGGGCAATGGGTTCTTTTTTGGTAGTGGGGTTTCTTTGAACAGACTATCATCCGTCATTTGGGACAACATATCATAGCCTAAAGGTCGCTTCCATTTTGTACCATCAGTAGAGAGACAATATATGTGATTTATTGGGTCCTCTTTTATTCTATAGAGCTTATTTTTACACAATAAACTGGTGTAAATAACAATGTCATATCTGCAAGTTGCAACTTCTTTAACACTAACCACAGAAGTCTGGAAATCTGGCATGCACAAATAATAGACAGTTGTCTCCCTCTTGTACCCAGGAATAAGGTCACACTCAGTGCCTCCTTTGTAGACAACTGAGAAGTAAGGTCTCAGTGCACCAGCATGATTTAATGTGGGAGGCTGGAACTTATCACCAAGATTTGTTGGAAATGAATCGTAACTAACATAACCAAGATAAAATGCCTGTTTCACCAAAACTTTCTTGTTGCTAGCATCTCTCTCCTCATGGAACTGTTTGACATGTCGCCCATGACAAACTTCATAAATCCAGTAAGAATCAACTCTGTAAGAACAAACTTTGTCCTGATCTAGTTTTGAGATAATATCAAAAGCTGAAGTATCCACATCGACATGGTCGGGTAACTGGAAAACAGAAGGCTCTGGCAGCTGACAAATATACTCTTCATCTGAGTTTTCAGTTCGCATCACAATCTCAGTTTTTCCATCTTTATAATCTACCTTTGGATCACCCCAAACAACATCAAAGAAGATGGAATCATCAAATGCATCAAAACTTTGGGTAGAATACTTTGGTAAAATGATTGCCAAACATATAATCTTGATAATCATTGTCATGATGGGTTGTTGTAAACAACTTCTATTGAAAGAGAACATCCACAGCAAGACACGTACCTCATAAGATAACCAACATCTTCCTGACTCAAGACATACTCGTTTTGACACCTGCAAATGTAAAAGTAATTTCCATCTTCATCAGTGTCAAAATCTCCAATGTATATATTATCTGAAATTGCAAAAGACTGTAAAGCTTCAAATTCTACATTGGCATCATAATGTTTTCGTTTATCTGGATCACCAAGAATTTCCCATGCTTTTGCAATAGACATAAAGTCATTGTGTCTGTCCTTGTTTTTGTCAGGATGGGAGATCAAAACAAGACTTTTGTAAGCTTTTCGAATTTCTTCAGATGTGGCTTTTGGTGAAACACCCAAAATAGAGTAGTAGGTTTGATCATTCATTGTCACTAAAAGTTATGAAAAATATAGTGGATTTTTTGCCAAAGTGTAAGTTTTTACCAATACAAAGCAAACATTTTGCAAAAATCTTGAAATATTATAATATACAGTGCAGACTTAAGTAATAGCAAGTTAAATCAGTTCTGCATGAACGAAAGTATGATTTACTAATTTAGTATCAATACCACTAAGGGTTCAATACTACTACTATTTACTAAGGATTGGCGGAAATAATGACAGTGGAATTTTTAAACGTGTTGTTTTCTAAAAATGTGTGCAGCTATTTAAATTCGGTTTGTGATTTACCTTTGACGGGAATTTGATTTACAAACTGGTGGAATCTGAAGCCTACCAGGTTTCTAGAGTAACATTGAGTACAGTAAATTATAACTCACCCAAATCTTTAACGAATATGCAACGAAAGGTTTTTTTAATCAAATAGCCCAGAGTCCTCCAATCACAGGAAAAGTTTCTGTTATACAAGATACAAGTATATACAAGTATTAACAAATAGTAAATAAAAGCAAACCAAAACTGAAAATAAACTGCCAGTCTGTATTAAACTAGTCTAGACTAAATTTGGGGCTGTAGTAGGAAACTAAAATGAATGACAAGTAAAATTTGTAAAATTCGTACAACTATTCTCAACAGTTCGAAAATATCGCATAACTCATAATTTATGATTAACTTATGATTTTATAGATTTTAGATCACTTCATAAGAACAAGTCAGCAACAGGGCAAGGCGAGGTAAGAACAGAAATATGAGACAGATGTTGTGTATTGGCAATTCGTAAACCTACAGTTCCTAAAACTACAGAAAATGGATATGAGGTGATACTATATTGCAATGGCATTTACACGGTGTAGTTATAACATTTAATATAATAAGTGGATTTACCGAATTGTGTGAATGGGTTTTGTTCAAATTTAATTCAAATAAAATTTTTCAAACAGTATACACATAATGTCACAATGACCCTATATATATAAAAGGAAAAAACTAAACCCTTCAACAACTCAAAGTTTTGAAAATCACCCTTGGCCTTGCGGCTCCAAGTTCAAATCTAAACTGTCTATATTGACAAAGTTCTTTCTCGCCCCTCTGTCTCCCCGGAGAGAAATCACTGTTGTTCTTAAGATTTAATTCAAATTATACCATTCTAATTTATTAAATAAACTACAAATTATATTTTTGAGGGTGTCTAATACATAACAATTGCTAACCTAATAATCAACCATTTTGTTTAACATATTAGCTTAACATAATATGAGCTTAATTTATAAAGGGTGTACCACAGAAAGTGTGACTTTGTCATACAAAATATGATGAAGGAGCAGTTGGTAAAAACTCTTCATCACATTGTGTCAATAAGTGTCGAATTTATGCATGCCAAGTCCCTATCAATTTTTGATTTCTCAGAAATTGCACTATTCTGTTATGGTGCTACCACAAGAACTTAAGCTTGCCGTAATCAAGGGGTCTCATCAACATTTTAGTTGTTGTTGATTGTTGATAGAAAACAGTAATTTCTATGTTGTTTTTGGTCCTATCAAAAAAATGTATTCCTAGCCAACGATATATATTGCTGGTCAAAGGTCAGCGCTCATGATTAATCGCATGCAGATTGTATTGCGATCTCGTGTAGTGAAAATCGAGTTTATCTCGTGTAGTATTAATCGAGTCTAAAAAATCTTTTTTCTCCATGAACTGTTTTTGATCAATCACCCTGAAACATGTAAATTTCTAAAACTTACTACATTATTTTATATTTAATTTTTGGGAAGGGTGGCTTTTTTGAGAAGATGCTTAATTATTAACAATTAACCATATTTTTATTATTTTTATCAATTTAACTATATTTCTGACAAAATTTAGTTAGAAATAACTATGAAACTGAAATTTAGTTTTGTCAAAAACTATTAAAGTTGATTCACGATGTCAATCCTTCGCAGCTCGGTGAGGCACAGTGGTGCATCTCGCCGATCTACCGAAGGATTGATGCATAACAACAAGACACGCGCTAAAGACGCGCATTTTCTGAGTGATGTTAACGATAGCTTTAAATTCACTGATGTCATTATTATTCAGCGTGACCGGTAATAGTTTAAAAATCAGAAGGAGAAAACACATGTTTAAATTACTAAAAAAGGAGTATCACTTTACAGGATTGAATTTAAATATAGTCATAATAGATAAGAGAGGAATTTGTTTCCCTTTGAATCAATCAAACTAGATGAATTGTTGTAAATACTTAGATCAAACTATCAATCTACAGGCTATCGTCAAACATGTTGCAAGGCGTCATCTTCAGTGACATAATAGATAAGAGTTTATTAACTATCATGCCAACTTTAGAGACGGTAACCACATTAAAATAAAGTTTTCCCAATCAAAATAAAGGGTTTATACAAAATAAAAGGTTTATGCACTAGACTGCGAGACAATTAACCTTATGCAATGCAGGTTAGTATAACTATAATATCGGACTGAGTTGAAATTTCTGAGAGCATGATACCCCAAAATAAATATATGCCTGTGTCTGGCAATAGCGTTCAGATGGCTTCCGAACTTGTGCGGATAAGATAATATAAAAAATACAAATAAACTATAATAACAATCTGAAAATTAATGTATCAGTACAGATCTTATACTCGAAATCAGGCACTTTCAAAACATTTCTCTTAAATTATCTTTCTTAACACCGTTCAATTGTAACTTTAAATTAAAATATTATGATGATCCGGACGATGATAAATATTAAATTACAACTGATTATATTTATGGATTTCGGCCTGTCGATGCTGGAAGCTGATCAGCTAATCGTTAATCGTTACCATGTGACAAGAATAGTATGATGAACCTCCCAATCAGTATCTATGTATCAAAAGAAAATATTGATCTAATTCAACTCGTCGGGAGCCCTTTTGAAACATCTCGAAGTTAGAGTGCAGAGTGCATGATTACTGATTATCAGCACGATTGGGTGAAACAAAGACGAAACCGTGTGTTGATTAGAATTAAAAGAGGAAGATATTTAGTGATAAATTGTGCACTCTTGCATTTAAGTTTTAATTGTTAGACTTGTTCGATGTAGGGCCTTTAATTTAACCTAATACTAATGCAGTTACTTAATACTTGGTAAGTCTAGGGAAAACAGGTGCTAGTTGTCGGAAATGAAATGGAGTCTGTTCCTGATCGAAGTTACATGATGCTGATAGATTTGATGCAGCTCAGCACTCAGCAGCCACTGTCTTCAAATAGAGTGTTCCAGTTCTGCAATCTGCAGTCTCAAATGTTTTCGCCCAGCTTTTCTTTTCATCGTGGTTATAGAGACAGACCTGAAGAAATACTAGTATAATGATAATATAGGTAACATGTCCAGAATGAGTAAAATTGTATTATCGGCAAATTTACTTATGTGAAAACTCCCAACAGGGTGGCGCTGGCCCAGAAGTAACTGCACACAAGCAACCCTTTAATGATCACGCACGTAATTTGTGTGAAAATATGTAACTCATTTAACGAAGTCAGTGAAAAGAACCTACCTTTATTTACCAATGTCGATTTTTTGCTTGTGATGAAGTAGTCCTCGCAAATGTGAGATATGTATGTAGTTTGTTTTTAAAAGTAGGATTGTAGTCATAGTCGATGTATAGCGACGGTAGTTTACCAGCAGCTCCCTGTACAAATAGAAATGTGGTTTTTATATAATATTACTAGTTAAATTAATGAGTACAATGCAGGAATAAAAAAATGTGTCTTAAATGTTTTATATTAAATGTGTTATAATTATATTAACCACCTTATATTCGTATAATATGTACTCACAAACAATGATAGTCCCAACTGTTTTTAATTGCTTATAATTTAAACCTTCTTATTAAATAATTTAGATGACTGTGTCTGATCTAAAATTGCACGAGAAATAGAGAAAATTAGGTCTCAGACAGAACTCGACCGGGATATAACCGGCGCAGCCGGAATACCGGCTGGTATTTGGCGATTTTGTACCGGTACCGGCCGGGATTTTGGTTTTAGCCGGGATTTTTCCAAAATAAATTCAGTTTTTCTCAACGTTAATTTGAGTCCAAAATTAACAAATCTGTGAACATTTTCCTAAAACATTTTGACGAAGTCATTGAACAATGGAGACTGGAGTCAATCTATATTTAACATAATCATGGGTGTACGAATTATGGACTTCTTTCTGACTTATGACTTAATTATTGTGACTAAGTGTCACGGCTCACGGTCTTGTGTTACCGAGGGACAAGTAAAACAGAGTTCTCCGGGTAAAGAAAGCATTAATAAATGCTATTCAGTATTCATCCTATTCAATTATTCAGGTAAGGTGATGTAAACTGTAAAGTGATAAGCTCCAACGTCAAACACCATGTTCAATTAAATAAGTTTAAGTAACCAATACCAGATCACAGGATTGTTATAGTTACGGAGACTGTTGGAAACGATGCAAACCAGGATCGGACTCCTATCAGAAATAGTCGACCACCGGTCCAGCCTCCCTCAAACTCAAATGCCCTACCACTACCCCAGACCACATCCACCTCTTCAGCCAGGAGCAGCGCTCCCACTATACCACTACCAGCAGTTCCTACCGCCTCAGAGGATACACTGCACGTGCCCGTTATTCCTCATGCCTCGTCTTAAATGTCCAGTCCATGAATCCTGTGCATCAAGTGCGAGTATATGGGAAGTGCCAAAAATCTCAGCTCTTATTCAGGAGAAATCCAAAAACCACTCGTTACCGTTTATTGCACTTACGGAAACGTGGCTCAAGTCCTACATGTCAGACAAATACAAAATGTGCATCACCTCTTTCTCCTGCTGAGCAGAACCTCCCCCTTAAAAGTAAACAAATCTGCATCGCCTCCCAACGACAATCCAGATATATTAAGCAGCAGAGACAATCATTTAAGGAGACTTCGATATCTATCAGGATCATGATTTTACTGCCTGAGAACTCAGCACTTCAGGATGAAACATATAATATTTGGTTTTCTCGATTTCATTCATATTTAGACAGAAGTCCGTGTAGATAATTGGTTATAGAATAATTGGATATAATTTTATGCGAAGTTGTGTCTGCGAAAATATACGTGTGAACTGGTCATCCCGCAAATGCTGAAAAAGTAGATGTTACCTATCATAAAATAACCGCTCTCACCGTACAGTGTACACGACAGAGTTGTGACTGCGTTTACAAATTCTTTATCATATTGATGTGTTGCCATGGCAACCGAAACTCCATCGGAAGATCGGCCTGTAAGGCATAATCATGATAATACACAGTATCAAAACATTGCCATTGATATCATAGCAACATTCCAGAGATTAGATTATGTGTGTGTAAGAAAATGTATGTTATAGTATTATACAGTCTGCTAGAACATTCCGTTTACACATGGTGGCCGATAACAACTTGTTTAATTTATCTCCGAATTACACACAAATTTCTGAAAGTTTCGTAGACTTAAATCAATTACAGAGGGTGTGGCTATTGGCCAGCCCCTCTATTTCACTATTATGGTTGAAACTATAAGAATACAGATTATATTGTTACAGTGATTTTACAAAAGTCGAAACAGTAAACACCAATTTGTAGGATACTTTAAATCACACCAAAATTGGTCCCAGAATGCAATGAAATCTGATGGCGTCTTTTCAGTGAAAAAGAGGCCACACTCTCTGTAATTGATTAAAGTTTACGAGACCTTTAGAAAATGAGTTATATAACTTGCAACTTAAACTAAGATAAATTGAGTATTTATACTCAATTTATCTTAGTTGCATGAGTAATATATATATACTACCCACTATACCACTACCAGCAGTTCCTACCGCCTCAGAGGATACACTGCACGTGCCCGTTATTCCTCATGCCTCGTCTTAAATGTCCAGTCCATGAATCCTGTGCATCAAGTGCGAGTATATGGGAAGTGCCAAAAATCTCAGCTCTTATTCAGGAGAAATCCAAAAACCACTCGTTACCGTTTATTGCACTTACGGAAACGTGGCTCAAGTCCTACATGTCAGACAAATACAAAATGTGCATCACCTCTTTCTCCTGCTGAGCAGAACCTCCCCCTTAAAAGTAAACAAATCTGCATCGCCTCCCAACGACAATCCAGATATATTAAGCAGCAGAGACAATCATTTAAGGAGACTTCGATATCTATCAGGATCATGATTTTACTGCCTGAGAACTCAGCACTTCAGGATGAAACATATAATATTTGGTTTTCTCGATTTCGTTCATATTTAGACAGAAGTCCGTGTAGATAATTGGTTATAGAATAATTGGATATAATTTTATGCGAAGTTGTGTCTGCGAAAATATACGTGTGAACTGGTCATCCCGCAAATGCTGAAAAAGTAGATGTTACCTATCATAAAATAACCGCTCGCACCGTACAGTGTACACGACAGAGTTGTGACTGCGTTTACAAATTCTTTATCATATTGATGTGTTGCCATGGCAACCGAAACTCCATCGGAAGATCGGCCTGTAAGGCATAATCATGATAATACACAGTATCAAAACATTGCCATTGATATCATAGCAACATTCCAGAGATTAGATTATGTGTGTGTAAGAAAATGTATGTTATAGTATTATACAGTCTGCTAGAACATTCCGTTTACACATGGTGGCCGATAACAACATGTTTAATTTATCTCCGAATTACACACAAATTTCTGAAAGTTTCGTAGACTTAAATCAATTACAGAGGGTGTGGCTATTGGCCAGCCCCTCTATTTCACTATTATGGTTGAAACTATAAGAATACAGATTATATTGTTACAGTGATTTTACAAAAGTCGAAACAGTAAACACCAATTTGTAGGATACTTTAAATCACACCAAAATTGGTCCCAGAATGCAATGAAATCTGATGGCGTCTTTTCAGTGAAAAAGAGGCCACACTCTCTGTAATTGATTAAAGTTTACGAGACCTTTAGAAAATGAGTTATATAACTTGCAACTTAAACTAAGATAAATTGAGTATTTATACTCAATTTATCTTAGTTGCATGAGTAATATATATATACTACCCACTATACCACTACCAGCAGTTCCTACCGCCTCAGAGGATACACTGCACGTGCCCGTTATTCCTCATGCCTCGTCTTAAATGTCCAGTCCATGAATCCTGTGCATCAAGTGCGAGTATATGGGAAGTGCCAAAAATCTCAGCTCTTATTCAGGAGAAATCCAAAAACCACTCGTTACCGTTTATTGCACTTACGGAAACGTGGCTCAAGTCCTACATGTCAGACAAATACAAAATGTGCATCACCTCTTTCTCCTGCTGAGCAGAACCTCCCCCTTAAAAGTAAACAAATCTGCATCGCCTCCCAACGACAATCCAGATATATTAAGCAGCAGAGACAATCATTTAAGGAGACTTCGATATCTATCAGGATCATGATTTTACTGCCTGAGAACTCAGCACTTCAGGATGAAACATATAATATTTGGTTTTCTCGATTCCGTTCATATTTAGACAGAAGTCCGTGTAGATAATTGGTTATAGAATAATTGGATATAATTTTATGCGAAGTTGTGTCTGCGAAAATATACGTGTGAACTGGTCATCCCGCAAATGCTGAAAAAGTAGATGTTACCTATCATAAAATAACCGCTCGCACCGTACAGTGTACACGACAGAGTTGTGACTGCGTTTACAAATTCTTTATCATATTGATGTGTTGCCATGGCAACCGAAACTCCATCGGAAGATCGGCCTGTAAGGCATAATCATGATAATACACAGTATCAAAACATTGCCATTGATATCATAGCAACATTCCAGAGATTAGATTATGTGTGTGTAAGAAAATGTATGTTATAGTATTATACAGTCTGCTAGAACATTCCGTTTACACATGGTGGCCGATAACAACTTGTTTAATTTATCTCCGAATTACACACAAATTTCTGAAAGTTTCGTAGACTTAAATCAATTACAGAGGGTGTGGCTATTGGCCAGCCCCTCTATTTCACTATTATGGTTGAAACTATAAGAATACAGATTATATTGTTACAGTGATTTTACAAAAGTCGAAACAGTAAACACCAATTTGTAGGATACTTTAAATCACACCAAAATTGGTCCCAGAATGCAATGAAATCTGATGGCGTCTTTTCAGTGAAAAAGAGGCCACACCCTCTGTAATTGATTAAAGTTTACGAGACCTTTAGAAAATGAGTTATATAACTTGGAACTTAAACTAAGATAAATTGAGTATTTATACTCAATTTATCTTAGTTGCATGAGTAATATATATATACTCTCATTTTTTTAGAGCAAACGTAATTTAAATGGCTAAACACAATTCAATAAAATTTGGCTCGATCCGATTATCCAAACTATCAAATAAATGCGAAAATGAACCTTCTTTTGAAAACAATGAACACAAATATGTTTCGATTTGACAAATTTCTCGAACCAGTGGTGGTAGTAAGTCATACCAGAACCAATTATTTCAATTGGGCACTCAGTGACTGAGCTATTAATGCCAACGTTTGCACACTGACTTTTGGCCCACCCTGTATATTTATAATATACGGCTGGAAAAAATGTAACTGGATATCTGCCACAATGCTGCTATTATTAAGGTTAAAGTAACATTTAGCACATAAAGAAGTCTGGTTTGCTTCTTTTTCTGGTTTAGCACATAAAGAAGTCTGGTTTGCTAGGTTTTAATTGGTCGTATAATAACAAATAAAAATGAGTTAAGACTACAAAAACGGTCGATAGAACCTAATTATAATACCTGTATCGAGAACTCGACTTCAATGCACTGATAGCGTTGGTACTAACATTCTATCAAATTATGTCATATCTTGAGACTTGATAGCTGCCTGAAACAGTTTTGAGTCAACATTATCGTGATATTCTAGAAATTGAAACCAATTCTCAACTTTAAAAAAGCAGGTTTCAATAAATGCCATAGAATTAAATTCTACCTTTTTAAATTTTAAGAATTTGTTGATTTATTAAAATTCTGTCTCAATTAATATATAAGGGTACATGCAATGTATTTCGACACGCACTGTAGACTCACTTATTGGATTCGTGCTAGATGCTGTGTACGTCACCCTCTTAACCACCTCTATGGCGAAGATGAGGATGGTAAGTGCAAGTACAGTAATGTGAGGAGAGGATGGGTATCATTTAGCACATTTTTGCTGTAGGTGTAAAGTAGCTCTTAGTCAAGGAGTATATAAATGACGGCACGACAAGGTTCTGCAACAGATCTCTGAACATGTTATCTTGTGAGCGCCGAGAGAACACTTATAAGAACAAGGCCAGCGATGTAAGACAGTATCATTGACTTAGTCCATGCTGGGAGGAAAAAAGCAAGTACAGACGACCGAAAGGAGTCGTGGTTTGGGATCCTGAGTGGGTCTCGATATTGGATAGTGCTTTTATATATCGGACCTTATGATATTCTCAAGGTCACCAAGACGGCACAGTCTTATGGCGGGAGGTAACGGTACCATCTAAAGAGCAGATTGCTGAATCATACAAGTGATTCAGCAGTCTTACAGCAGACTGAGATTCAAGCGAAAGAATTGTGCTGTTATAATTATGCGGTTAAAGTTCTAGCACCGGGAGTAGTTGTTCACGGTTTGGAGAGAGCTGAGTAGGCTAGTACGGGATAGAAGGGAAGAAGCAGCTCACTGTTCCAGATGGATCTACTTCTTATCAAGGAAGAAGGAGTGGTAGGTATAGTAAGGAAGATTGGAGCCTAAGAGTTAACTTAACATCTAGAGGTACCACAAACTTTATCTCGTCGCCAATTGCGAGCTTTAACGGGTTTCCTCAAGTGACTCGATGGTTTAATTGTGACAAATCATGATACGAACTTTGATGAACCCATAATAGTATAGTGCAATAATACTATGATAGTATTCTCATAAGTTCTACCCTTGCAACCGAGTACAATGTACATAATAAGTGATATCAAGCTGCAATCTAAAATTTATTAATTGAATCTCAAAATAACTTCAAATTTTACCTAATAATTGCGACATCGTTGGAAGTGAGAAATAAAATACATTAAATTTTAATCCAATTCTGCGAGAGAAGATTTGCCCAGACAGCTGACAAGAATGTATTACCATACTTCCTGTAAATGTGGTAGTTATTAGGTCATATCAAACTTGAAAATTATGTCAAAGTTTTTCTCAGTCTCTGGTGTCAATCACCAGTAGAGTGCCCAGCCGCACCAAAACAACCTGCGATTTTTACGTGGGAAACATCGTATAATACACATGCTATACACTCTAGTTTTATAGCAGCTACTGATATCATGCGGCAGTATTAATAAGCATACAAATTCAGCGCAAAAAATTGTAAAGACGACACAAATTCATGCGGGATGTTAATAAATGTGTCCATGTTGAACTCAAACTCCGACAGAATAATATTTCAAATCGGATATATTATAATTAATCAAATGGTATCTGCTCATGTTCCGTCTATATAAACTACAAAACTTAATAAATTAGTGAAGTTCTGAAACAAAGATCACGACTAGGTTTTATCAAAATTGAAAAGAAAACCGATCGAAGTGCACTAGAGATATAGTTTAAGTTTAAAGGGTCATCATTACTAAAATCTCTTCCTAGCTCCTAGCAATCAAGTTGTTAATCCTAGTTCTACACCTAAACAAGTACAAAATTACAGCCTTACATTTTGAAATTTTTCGATATCCAGCTCAACATAAGACTTCGATACCAATAATGCATAATGGGTACATACCGATGATCGGTGTTCGTAAATATTTGATTATTTATAGTATTGAAGTTTAAAATCTTCCTAATTATGTAAGAATAACAAAAGGAATCACGTACTAGTGTGCTGTTACGAAAAACAACTATTTAATAAAAATAAATTAACAGTATTCGAGTACAAAATTAAAAATACAAACTCCAACATAATCGACAGACAAACTCAATAAATGAAGATTTCGCTGTGAAACGAGCTATATATACAGCTATAACGTAGCGCTCGACTCCAGTCTGAACCAAAATTAAGTCGCGTTCGTAGGAAATTGACCACCAGCTGCTGGTGGTTCGAATGTTGGTTTGCACACTACTGTGGTTGCGAGAAGCATTATTTGATGCGCGCGCGACCCAGTAGTGCATCGCGCTACAACTATTAAAGTGGAAAAAGTCTTTATGCGGTACACCCTTTTCATACGTTGTAAACTTGTAGCACGTTACTGGGCGGCGCTCAGCCTGTCATTCCGCCGAATCTTTATTCGTTTATGAACATAATAGCCTGGGGTCCTCAGGTAAGTAGCGCGATGCGTTACTGGGCCGTGCTGCGCATTTAATATTACTGAATACTTAATTGACGATGTCAATTCTTGTCATACGTTGTATGACCCGCCGCGCACGGGTGCGCGGCTCCCCCTGTATCGTCGAAACTGTACAGGGGTGAAGCGACCGTGGGGGTCACCACGTGATACAAGTCAATTCATGGAAGCTCGGCGCGGTAGCGCATCTCGCCGATCTAGTGAGAAGCGCAAACCTCATTGGAGGACTTCGCCGCTTCGACGCGCCGCGCGAACTAGCATTCTTGCTTCGCATCGTCAATCAACAAACCTCATTGAGTGCGCGGCGCGGCACAGTAACGCATCGCGCTACAACTTTCTTCTCGTTGTAGGTTTACAACCTACCAGGACGCGCGCCGAGTTGGACTCGTCGACGGTCTATGTGGAACAGATATTTTACGAGTTTTACCCGTTAATCTTTTCGAAATGTTAGCCGAGGCAAGTGCTACAAAGTACAAAATCAAAAATAGCGCGCGCCGGGTTATTCCAATTGTCCACTGTTAATTGTTAATAGGACTAAGCCGGTGCGTGCTATTTTAACTTTGTCATATAGCGCTTACCTTGGGCTAACATTTCTAGAAGAAAGCAGCGCGCGCTACTTTTAAAGAAATTTATACGAGTAACGTACATCCGTTAAAGAGTATAGAAAGTCGAGTGTAAATAGTAAAGTGGTTAATTACCATCCTAAATTTGAAATTCAAATATTACCTTTTTTAGTTTCCTCGATTTCCAAATTTGAAATTTCACTGTTTTTATCAAATTTCACTGTTTTAATTATAGTAGGCAGTGCGCCATCGACAATAAGACGCGCGCGCTGACCATTGAATGGTTTTTTAGCTCTTATTTCGGCCAGCACATTATTTTGGAAACAATCAAAAAGTTATAATACTTCCCAGATAAAAATTTTGTTGAAATTTTGTCAGCTTACGTAAACACTTATTTTCTACTAAACCTAATTTAGTTTGAGCAATTTCAATGGTCAGAATTTGAGTTATCAACGAATTTATACCTATTTTGTCATTTTTAGACCTCTTAATCAAGGCCAATCTCTCCCAATTAAATAAGGTTCGGTAGTTAAATATGATTGGAAGGTTCTGACAAATTTTCAGCATGATTCATGTTCAGGAACTTCACATAGCCATGTGCCTACGCGTACTGCGTGACGCGCGCTACTGCAAGCGAGAGGGCTCTGGTTAGAGCAATTCAGGAACCGAAGATATGACAGAATAATACGACAAAAATCAACGAATTTCGTCAAATTACGCGACTTTTACACTTAATTTTGCTCCAAAAGCCGCGCACCATCAAATATAGCACCCAGGAGAAACTCGCTGATCATTCCAAAAAGGTATAATAAATTTTGTATTGTGAAAATTCTCACAGTCTCTAGAAAACGATGGTACAAAAATTTTGAAAATCCGAGCAAGTTTATTTTATCGTGCACCGCCTAATTATAGCGCGATGCGTTACTGTGCCGCGCCGTGCACTCAATGAGGCTTCTCACAGCGACATCCTGGCTAGATCGGCGAAATGCGCCACTGTGCCGCGCCGAGCTGCCATGAATTGACATCCTCAATTAACTGTTTTAACTGAACTTTTCTAAAATGACCAGTTTAGTTTGTGAGTTCACCGTGGATGGCACAAAACACAATTAAGAAATTGAAAGCTAAATCAGGCCTAACAAAGCTTTGATGAACGGAGAATCATCACAATAAAAATATTTCTTTCTAATTTCTTCAACCCTTTCTCTAGCTGGCTCTGAATTGTAGGTTTATAACCTACCAGGACGCGCGCCGAGTTGGACTCGTCGACGCGGTATCACCCGTATATTGTATATGGAATTGGAACAGATATTTTACGAGATATCACCCGTTAATTAAGCTCTGAACGACTATTAAAAACTTTAACCCTATAATCTGATCCCAATTAGACTAACTTCCTTATATTATTATACGGTCATATAACGTGATCGACTGATCGAGACAGTTTTTCGCCAATATCTCGCCAGGGGAGTATTTTAACCCTATGTGATGGGGGTGATTATGAATCAGCGTCCGAAATTAATACATCGGTTCAATTTGGTTTCAACTGTCGGGGGCCCTTTTAGAACAGTCTCGAAGATCGACTGTAGAGTGATTTAGCACGTTCGAAATTTCACAGTTCTGAGTTCTGACTGAATTTTTGACCATCCACCAATCAGTGACGTCAGTGGAAGTGACACAAGTCACGATCGTGGTACCGAAAGCTGAATAACCGGAAAAGACTTTGATGAAAGGAAAGATAATTTATCTATAGCAATGATTCATGATTTTGTCTCAGCTGTATTGAAATTGCATTGTATGTTTATAACTTATACTACAGACCTACGCGCTGAGATGCGTCTCATTGCCGGGTCTAATATTTGAAACAAATATTTGCGGTTATCAAATTCAATGTACAACTATAATAAATGTACAATAGCCAAGGATGGTTTCAAGATGGGCCAGTATCGCACAGTTCGACTTATATCATAGAAAACTGGCTAATTCAGTCAACCCATTTGCAAATTGCAATTCATTTTCGTGATTTTAGTTTTACCGATCTACAATATCTACAGCAGCTTACATTATTTGATTATTTTATCGTTCATGAACGATAGTTCATATTGTTAAACCTGGCATATCGCAAAATCAACAATTTTGTGAATAGCTTGCACTGCACAATTTCTCTAAATTTACACTCGTTATACACATACTATGTTCTTTTTAACATTTACCATACTAGTTTCCAGCGTTACTAAAATGTTTGTTATCGTTACAAGTTTCTGATTTATTTGTATTCATTTAACGCTGTTTAACTGAACTTGGAGAATGATCTCAGTCCAGTCTGGGACACAATGGAATGGAGTCATCTCAGCGACTCTTCTCACTCGACTAAGAGGGAAAAGTTTCCGCAGCAAGTTCCTCCTGAAGAAGAACAGAAAAAGATCTAATGAAAATGAATATCTTTCCTATTTAGATGTACGTCAATATGAATTCAGTTTTCAAATTCAATCAGTGTTTACAGAAAAACTGCCCAAAGTTCATAATTCATATATCCACTGATAGAGTGAGGAATGACAATACTATAAGTATAGCGATACGGATAAGTATGCTTCAAATTAAAGTCTTTTCAAGTTTAATGATTAATGTTATTCTCCCTTCATCTTCACGATTGAGCAACACCAGCAGTATTCGAGCAATCTAGTTAATATCCTGAGATAACGATCGAGTGGTGGTTGAGACTGATTAGATTAACGTAACTACGAAACACATTTCCACCTGATAATGAACGAACTAGTCCGTTAAATTTCACTATTCTTAGTCTCACGTGACGATTAATCAGCCTATCGGACTGATTCAGGGCTGAATGAGAGCATACTGATCACACCATGAGTATATTTCTCATGCTAATGTAACCTTGTCCAGAGTATGGACCAGGACTCCGATAGAAATTAAATTGTGAAGTTTGGTCGGCATGTCGATACTGATAGTTATTATAATTAAGGGAGTAAGCTCAACCGCGAAATATAACGATACTTATATTTGCTTCGTCGCCTCACTTCGCCACAAAAGTATATCTCATACTTCGTTGCCGAATTACACTAATAACGATTGAGCTTGCCTCAAGTGCACGTCTTTCATCGGTCATGTCTCTGCTAGCACTTATTTGGCTAGCTATTATCGTTTACCATGTGGTGAAACACGTCGCTCATGACAAAAATAAACGTAGATGTTTCAGAAGTGGAATACATCGCTCTGATTTTCTGGTAAATCTATTTTTGTTTCGCAATTGAACGTTACGCAAGTCGTATCATCTCGTACACTCTCCGTACGATCGATCAAGCTTTATTTCCTCGAATGTAAAACATATGTGAAATCATAAAAATGGTGAGGTGTTACGAGACTTCAAACACAAGCAAATTATTTGTAAAAAATTGTTTAAATTTTATTTGTGCACGTTTACTGTTGTGTTTGCCCAACATAGTAGACCCTTTGTATAGCATTGCTATATCACCAGTCACTCAGCTAAACATAGAGTCTATTTAAGCCACAATGTGGCTAACTTTAAACCCAGATAAAGATATGCTCATATGCTGCAAGTAAGATCTCGTGGAGTTGTTATCTAAAGTAGGAACGGTATATTTAAAAGACTTGTTTACAGGAAGAAGTTAGTCCAACTCTATCAGAAAGTAAAGAGAATGCAAGGAGGCTAATTAAAGCCAGGGAGGCTGGGATGAGGTTTCACAATCTTATGATGTCATGGAAATCAATGTTTCTGGAGAGATTTTCATCATTCCCAGGTCAGGATTTTACTTTTTATTCGATCGACGTTGAGAATCGTTCTAAATATCTCAAAGTAAAGCTTGGCGATACTTCAAATACTATTGTTATCAAATTACATGTCAGCTGCCATGAAATATAATGATATTGTCTATCGCTGAACTTTTCAGGTACAGATTAAAACAATGGCCCCAGACCCTTCTCGGGAGCCCAGCGGTAGAGAGGTTCTACAGACCAGAGCTAGGAATGTACTTCTTCGACAGAAACCGCTCCGTATTCGAGTACATTTGCAGGTTTTATCAGAGTGACGATGATGTGGAGTTTCCACCTCAATTCGATGATACGGTCCTTGAAATGGAGCTAGAGTTCTTTAAGATAGGCTGGTCGGATTTGAACAAAAGTTTCAAGACGTCTGATTTTGAATACGTGGGAAGAAAGGAGAAAGCTTTCGCCTTCTTCAACGACCACAAATCTTCTGTTTTTGCGTTTTGCTACATGATTTTTGAATTCTTCGTTATAGCACTGTCAGTCGTCGATTTTATATTGGAGGAGGACGAGGCTTTCCAAAGCTTTTTGTCAGACCAGCCTATTTTGTTAGAAATACGCGAGATCGGGGTCATCCCGTTACTGGGTGTTTTATTCTTTTCAGTTGACTTTATAGCTCGAGCTATAGTGACACTTGACCAGAGACAATTCATAATGGACATAACCACGTGGTTCGATATTTTAGCCCTTCTTCCTTATTACCTTGATCTGGCATCGGTCCAAGAGGAAGGTCACAAAGAAATTCAAGTGCTGATGATTCTAAAGATCTTCAGAGTCGCACGATGTTTGAAAATTATCAGAAGATCGGAAAGGTTGCAGATCATACTGAAGATTCTGGGAGGTTGCCGATGGGAACTTCTCGTTATGTTGTTCGTGTGGATAGTGGGGGCACTGTTCGCTGGGAGTCTTGGTTACGTCACTGAAAATGGTTTGTCTGAAATGCTCTACAACAAAACAAATCCCGAGTTTTCCTCCATTCTAGAGTCCACCTGGTGGGCTCAAGTCACCATGGCTAGTATCGGTTATGGGGACATGTACCCCAAGTACGGCCCAGGAAAACTGATGGCAACTATCGTCATCATAGGGTCTACAATCTTGACAGCCATTCCCATGACGTTTATAGTTAGGAGGTTCAGTCTGGAGTACGAAAAGGTGGCGATGAAAGAGCGACCCTGGAAGATTCTGGGCTCTGAGGAGGTGAAGATGAGCCGGAATAGCGACCATTTTCAGAAAAGAAGGTTCGAAGAAAAGTGTGGTGAGAATGTGTGCTATGCCGCCGTCCTGGCTTATCGCAAGAAGAACGCAACTAAAGTTTGGCAAGAAACTTTATTTACTGTCCTGTTGAGAGAAAGAGAGGCTGAATTGATAAACGAGTCAGAGGAAAACTTAGAAAGACTTGAAAATGCTAACCATTCACATACTGGTCCTTGAGAACTGATGCTCAAAAAGTTATTCAAAGAGAAAACAGAGGGTGAAGTAATAAACTAGCTTCTGAGAAGTTGTTCAGGGTTGCTGTAACCTAAAATTAACACCGTAGTTAAACTAATCAGAATGTGGATACCAAAACGCGTGGTATTATAAATTATTTGACTATGTGCCAATTACTATGTGGCTTATGCAATTATCGACATACGGTCCAGCATGTCTAACCTAAGTAAAGCACAGTATTTAACAAGCTGCCATGTTGTTGTAATTTAAGCAAATGTTATTTTTGATCACGTGACTATGATGACTGTTTAGTGTTTATTATCTCCAGTCCAATCTGATCAGCTGCACTCTCATCTGACTCGGTATGGTTTGTTGATTTGTATTGACTGTGTATGTGTCTCCATGTGTATCGTGACAAAGATGAGTATCTAATTTTCTGATTGAAATTCAACCGAACTGTGCCAATCTACGGTAATTAGAGCAATCTTTGTATCACTGATCAGTGATCAGACTGATGTGGATATGCCCAGTGAGGTTGAACTGCGCAACTGATTCATGTATTTTGGGTATCTGTGTAATTGTACGTACTGTTGCGCAAGTTGCTAATGACTTCCGTCTAATACTGTTTCTTAATTCTCTCGATGTGTAGTGTCTGTGTAGTGTGTACATGGCTATACTAAGTCGGACTTGTTCTTTGATTCAGTAATTTCATCTACGCTTTCTAAACTAAAAGCATATTCATAATCAGTACAATTCTTTGTTGGCCATCATGCAGGAAGCTTTGAGTTTGAATTAGTGTTTATTAATATTCATTCCGAGAATGTAAATATTATTGACTAAATTCTGTCTTTGACTTGAATGCGATCATATTATCGTGAATACCCATTCATATCTGCAGATGGTAATCGTACTGTAGTGCGACACGTACTCCAGTGCGACACGTACTCTAGTGCGAAGTCCGACAAAAACACCCTCTGTCGCACTACAGTACGTGTCCCACTACGATCCAGGTAGCGTACTCTAGTGCGACAAAATATCCTGACTTATTTTCAAGTTCAGGTCACATCCTATTATTATATCCTTCTTATGGACCATTAAGTGATTCGTCGGGTCGGTTCACGTCACTTATTTCGAAGTGATCTTGCGAATACGATTCGTCAGTTCACATCACGTGTTTCGAAGTTATCCACTGATCATAATTCCTTCGGGTCAGTTCAAGCCACGTATGTAGTGTGTGATCCACTGGGTTACTCTTAAGCAGCATATGATCCTCATTCCTATCACACGCATCGTACGAAGGTATATCTCCGATTGGGATAACAAGTTCATATGCTTGGGCCATAAATAAGGTCACGATGATTCTACCAAAGCATCGAACAACATCAACATGTCTTCTTCAATCACCTTCATTACTGGACACACTACTGGTTCAAGAAACGTTATCCACGACAGATACCGCTACTGCCTGGATAAGAATCGCGACGACAAGACCTACAGGCGATGCACTGAGAAGACCTGCTCCGGACGTCTCAGTCTGACGAACAACACTACTGAGTCCAGGTAGCGCACTGTAGTGCGACACTGCGACAGTGTCGGCCTTGAAAATTCTCTGTCGCACTAGGGTACGTGTCGCACTACGATCCAGGTAGCGTACTCTACTGCGACAGTGTCGATCTTGGAGGTTTCGCAGTAGGTACGTGTCGCACTAGAGTACGTGTCGCACTACAGTACGTGAACCTCTGCAGATTAACGTCATTCGTTAATCGCGGAATTCTTCTAACTATAAAAATGAACAGGCTGTGCAGACAGACGTTAACTCAATATTCTTTGATAATGTTTACTACGTTACATACGATAAAGTTGATTGCTGAGCAGATGGTCAGATCTTTTCGAGACAAGCCTGTTCACAATCTGCACCTGTTCATATCAAATAACAGATCTTTAGTTGAAGTATCCATGATAAGAAACTGATCGCTACAATTTAACTGATATCCTGTTCCCAAACTTCCAGATCTTTACTCTTACAGTAGAGCTGTATCGGTCTGACCTATTTCAGGGCTACAGAGCTCGTTCCAGTAATATTCCAGTCTCCTAAAGACACCCCAGAACCCGCTATTATATAGCAGAATATGCAGCTCCATAAGACCAATGACCATGCTGAGTAGTACTCCTAGTGACCAGCTCCACAAGATACACAGTGGACATTATTAGAGAGGGGGCCTGTTGTAGTGTTGGAGTGTGGACCACTGTTGTAGCTATGGCCGTGTGTACGCACAATATGTCCATGAGTTGTCCCTTATATAAGATCAGGTGTAACGTGTAGCCAGGTCCAGTAATTCGGTTATACCACTCTCTCCTACTGTTGCTTTGTAATTAGTATTAGAAATAGAGAACTATAATATAGAGAGAGAGTAGAACTTTTCTATAATAGACTTTATTTGCACACGCTTCTTGTGGTGCCTCGCCACATGCAATATAATCGATATAACTGTATAATTGCTTTATATAGAACATAGACATCTCTTTGCTTTTTAGAGGTCATATTATATATTTTCCAAAGTTTTGTTGCTGTAGAGTGTAAGTGTATGGTAATGAGGTCTGATCGTCATCTTCTTACAGCGTTCGTTGTCTGTGTGAAGGTAAAATGGTGACATCCTTAGTCCTCTGTGAAAAAGACGATTTATGAAGGAGCAACCTTACATTCAACCTATTACTCATTTCTCATTCTCAAGATGTCCACCACATGATGTTGCTCTACCACTTTGAATTATGTCCCTTATAAGCGCTTTTTATAACTACCGTTCACCAAACCTTGACTGCGGCTTTGTTAACAAGGTTTGGCCGGTAGAGGGTTCGCAGTAGTCCCATTACCTTATTATTGCTGTACAACTACTACAGATGTAAGTGTATGGGTTGTAATTTAATTATTTACATTTTATATCAGTGCTGCACGCACGGATCCCAATTAGGCTGGAAACTCTAAATTGGTCCGCGAATCCTGATTCAAGAGTTCAAAATATTTGAGCTGTAGTTGAGTACTTGCATCTATCCTGGTACGCATTAGCACAACGTGATGCAGCCATTATGTGGACGGCTCAGACGATTAGTGCCCAATTTTAGCTTATGTCGTGCTGTGTGTGAGATATAGAGAAGTTTAGCCTGCTCTGTCAAAACTTGTTCACTCCCGGATGCATCATACACCAGTCTAGAGATTGTACTTGTACAGCGAGGGATTGCATGGTGTGATGTGTGTGATTATACATGCTCTGCACAGTGTTTAGATAGGAGAAGTAGCCCCGCACTTTACTTTCTTGTCCCGCAGTAGAGCTGTTGTAATTGTAACAATAGCCCGGGAGAGCTCTTACTGAGACTAGTTAGCTTTATCATTCCGTTCTTTACATCTTTTAAGTTAAGACCAGGTTACACCAGACGTTTTCCGGCAGTTTTGTTTAAAAGCTTTAATTTTGTTTAACCGGTTACAGTAACTTAGCCTTTCATTTTTGCCCGTAGTAAAACGTACTACATAAAACGTACTACATAAAACGTACTACATAAAACGTACTACATAAAACGTACTACATAGAACGTAATTACATAAAACGTAATTACATAAAACTTTAACAATCAAGCCAGTGAACATCGCACTAACATAATGAACTTTGTTCGCTTCAAGTTTGCCGTTTGAATATTTTCAATTTTACACTTCATTAATCAAAACTAAATTTGCTTTCTACTTGCAAGTCTCACTCGTTTGCGCGGTATGACCGTACAAAAATTAACGTAACTGCACACGATTCAAAGTAATGTTATGCTGAAGAGTAAAAGTAAATTACCGTTTAGCAGATCATTATTTATTGACTCTGATTCGATGCGACCAGCTTGGTTAGTTTGAGCTTTTGAGAGCTTGTGTAGAGCTTTCTCGGTGTTTGAATTGAACAATCGATTTACACTTTTATTCACACTTTTATTTACACCTGCCAAGACAAAGCATTTCCTTTCTCGCTTTGCACTGCGATGACCAAGTACTGTTTTCTACAACCACGTTGTTCTTGTTCCAACTAAACCAAAAGAAGACGCTTCTTGAAACTTTCTTGGCACAAGGAAGACCAATGGCAATCGCTCACAATTATCTTCCAATCATTTCCCTAATTAGGTACTTTTTTAAATTATGAGGTCTGATCGTCATCTTCTTACAGCGTTCGTTGTCTGTGTGAAGGTAAAATGGCCTTGCTCAGCAATGGGTAGGGTTTGCAGTTAGATAGCCATGTGGCACGCTGCAACTAAATTATATGAGGTTCTTCTCGAATAATTTTCAAGACTTGATGTCAATTTATTATCGGAGAAAAAAACGATTTATGAAGGATCAACCTTACATTCTACCTATTACTCATTTCTCAAGATGTCCACTACATGATGTTGCTCTACCACTTTGACTTATGTCCCTTAAGCGCTTTTAACTACCGTTCACCAAACCTTGACTGCGGCTTTGTTAACAAGGTTTGGCCGGTAGAGGGTCCGCAGTAGTCCCATTACCTTAGTATTGCTGTACAACTACTACTTTTTAAATGGTTGAATTAATTTCGCAACTGCAAACTAAACTCCGTTATTTATAAGAAGTACCAGGAATGTGATATCCAGTAAAGAATAGTGAACAGAGCCTTTATGTGAGGTAGCAAGCGTCCTAAATTATGTTGTACAGAAAGTGTGTCCGGCTTTTGTCACAAATTGGTCACAGCTGTGTTAAATGTGGTAAAGTGAGGCAGTGTGCGGGTGTTAGATTCACTTTTAACGGAGGGGAGGAAAGAGGACACGAGGAGAAAGGAAACAACTATAATAGGTAAGGGTCTTAAAATATGGACTGTCTAACTTGTTCTTACTCATCAGGCAAGCAGAAATTGAAATCTGATCTCTGCTTTAATCCTGAAAGATTAGTGAGTATAAGAATACATGACGATGAAGTGTCCACATTTGCAGGGGGTACAGTAGAGCTGGATTACTAGGAGGGGGAGCTGTAGGGGCAGTTGTGGCAAGCTCCTCCAGTGACGATGACGAGGAGGAGGTGGACATTGATCACGTAAGTTTAATCCTCAAATGAATGGAAAGCACTTTCCCCCTTTGATTCGGGCTCCAATCAAAGGGGGATTAAAATCTGGACATTGAGTACTAAATCAGTAAATCAACAATAGCTTATTTTATTTGTTCTGCCATCCTCGCACTAATATTAACTTATGTTCGCAAAGCAATTTTTTAGATCGGTGGCTTATACCATGATTTACATGCGATTTGTGAATGAAGCAACTCCCACCCAATAAATTTAATTAATGTTATTGTCACTCAGGATGCGAAAAAGGTCCGATTACTCCATTGATCGTTGTAGGGTTTTTGCATGATTTGAATCGACTTTGATTTGAGTTTAACTTTTGCTATCATATCGTTGCTGTAAACGTGTTAGTTTTACTAAGTCGAATTCAATCGAGTGATTCGTTTGAATTGTATTTTGTCAAAATGTGTCAGCATTGTTATCACCGGTGCGTGGAGAATAGATAGATACTCGAAGTTCAAGTGAAAGATAGTATGATGATAAAATCAGAATAATTGGAGTAATGAACAAACTAAGATCGCAGAACCTTGACCCTTACGCTAAACCTACATGTTTCGGAGAGGTCTAAGTTTATAATTAAAACAAGGTAGTTAACCGTTGTTTAACTATCCTCTCTACGAACTAGTGGTTTTAACTGTCCTCTTTACGGACTAGTGGTTTAACCCGTAAATATCAAGAGATATTTGGTCCTCGTGGAAGGTTCTAGAAGAATCAGGAGAGAGCTAGGAACTAGCTCGATTCAATCTATAACAGATCCCTACGGACACAGAAAAAGATTTTATTGGTAGATAAAATCTTTACGGGGTTTTTATTATACGTCCACAATTTTGAAAAAACAAGCTATGGGTCTTGTCACAAATATCTCACATATTGAAAATCAAATGCTAACACGAATTCACAGATTTAATTCTTCTCCATATTCTATTAAAAATAATTTACACGAATTGTTCGTTGGTCTTCAAGGAAATTTTATTTTCTCCAGTCTGTTTCATTTATTAAAAACTATAGTTTTCGGATTGTCCATTTAGAAGTATTTCAATGAGCCGTTGTTGGCGTGAGCTGATGTTCATCAACTAGGATCGTGTCTATTCTTGTTAGTTAAGTCTTAGTATGACGGTTGATCCAGAAGGTAAGTCGTTCACCTAACTATTGTCAACTTAGATCTTCAAGGTCTTTGGGGTGATGTGGGCTCTAATAGTGTCTTCTAAGGACTAAGTGAGGTAAATGCAGGAGAAATTTTCAGGGCTTCATGAGGGCGGAAGTGACGTTTAGGACTTCGGTGGAGAAGAAGTAATGTGCAGGGCTTCAATAGAGCAGGAGTGACGTTTAGGACTTCAGTAGAAGAAGTAATGTGTAGGGCTTCAATAGAGCAGGAGTGACGTTTAGGACTTCAGTAGAAGAAGAAGTAATGTGTAGGGCTTCAATAGAGCGGTAGTAACATGTGGGTAAGGGTCCATAGAAGAAGGGTATAATCAACATAGATTTTGTGGAATTCCCAATTTATGATCTAATATGATCGACACCTCAATTATATTTTGATTTATGATTCTTACAATCGTATGTTGTTTTTGGTTTTTATTTTTCAAGAAATGAATAGACGCATTTTTGATAACTGCACCAAGGTAGTAAAACTAGTAGTGATATATTACAATAGTAACAGTGTTATATCATAATATATAGAATATATGTCTCAAAGGACTAAATCATTTTAATAAAGGGATATGTCACAAAGGACTAAATCATTTTAATATAGGGAGATGTCACAAAGGACTAAAATACTTTGATTTAGGGATATGTCACAAAGGACTTACTCCCACCTGCTGTTGGCGGTCCACCATAGCAAGGTGGAAATATTGTTTAAGCTAGCTACGGTCAGCAAATCCTTTCCAGTAGTTTTTTGGGGTTCCAGATCCCCAGGAGATCTTTTCTGATCTCGTTCTGGTCCGTTATGGACGCGAATGCGTGGACAGGGATGTATGGGGTTTTTCCGCCACAGCATGGCGAGAGGGTGATACCCCGGTTTAAAGAAGTTTGAAGGCGGGGAATGTGCCCAGGGCTCCAGGGGCACATGCCGGCCCATATGGCGTCGTGCTTCCGTAGCCTCGCTTGCTCAGGGGCACCACTTTTGTTAGCTGGCAGCAAGGCCTGACTTGTCACGTTCACTGACACCAAGGTCTCTCCGTTTGCGGGGCTATCTCCGTCTGCGGGGTTATCTCCGTCTGCGGGGCTATCAGTCTCCATTACGGTGACGCTCTCTAGTGACTCTATGAGCTCCTTCTCTGCTGCTCCTTCTGTCTCTGTTGCTGGTCCTGTCACTGCTGCCTCTTCTGTTGTCGCTTCCTCTTCTATCGTTACTGCCTGGGGTCCGGGCTCTTCTTTCTCTGGAAGAATATTTTTTGTTACGAACGGGGGAAATAGTCATTTATTAGATTGACCTTGTAATATATAATTGTAATTGTAATATCCTGCTACACGCCATTTATACTTAATTAATATGGCGGTGTGAGTATGCCAGAAAGTGATTTAAACTAGTTGTATAATTATAAATTATAAAGTTTAACTGGCTAAAGTACTAAAACTAGCAGAGTATCATGATTAAAAGAAGTCTTCGATAATATGATCATAACTGATTAGTCGGTTTAAAAGGTACCCGAGCGCTCAGGGCACACCTAAAATTATATCCGAGAAATAGTATCATACGACTTCGTTGCTAGTTTAGAAACTCACATATCTGCAGAATTACAGTAATCAAGTACTCACTTCCTTTTCTTGTTGTACTTTTTATTGACCGTCACGTGGTCATGACGATAATCAAACCTATCAATAGGTAGACTTCTAGTAGCCCTTGGGTTATTCCTTGCTAACCTCTCATATACATAAGCTTCATTTGAGCTCGTAGGGTCTACTTCCGTGCTAGTTATGCCGGTCAATGGGATAGTGTTATCGGGCGAATGATGGCCTGGTTGACTCACTGCAGTACCAGGTTCTGGGGCAATATGTTGTCCCGTGCCAGTCGATATATCTATCTCATTTTGAATCTGTACGAAATGATTCAGGGTAGGAGCTTGATCTAGAACGATCACGAAGATTTTTTTTCTATCTCTGGACCGAGATTTCGAATGGTTCCTGCTATTATCAGAATCAATATGACTCACTGATCTTGATCTAGATCTAGAACTGTAACGATTCATTGATCTATTTCTCGATCTATTCCTTGCTCTATGGCCTGACGGACCTGCTGATCTATTCACGTTGCTATTACGGGTATTTTTAATTTATGTATCGTCCGAATTATTTTTGTTATCTTCAATGAAGAAAGCCTCGAGAGATTTGGCACTACTTACTGCCTTGTCATATGTTAAGTTCTTTCTGTCTCTGACAATTTCTATTTTTATGGCAATGTTTCTAAGGCCTTGTATGAAAGCTTCTAATTTATGACTTGTAAGGTCAGATGGAGAAAAATTTAGATTCTGGGCTATGATACCAAGTCTATAATTATAATCGTCAATGGATTCATGGCTCTTTTGCTTTAGATTATATAATTTTGCAAGAGCATTTGCATTGCTTACGACCGGATTTATGGCATTCTTAAAAGCATCGCATAATTTAGCTGCATCGGCTTTATCATCATCATCCAATTCTACGGATTTCAAAGATGCGTGTGTTCTATTGTCGACCAAGGATAGAAATATCATGTCGAGGTTTTTCTTTAACTCATTTATGGTTACGTATTCCGTGAACCGATCGCAAAACTGATGAAAGTTATCGCCGTATACAAACTGGCGGGGTTTACCTATGATTGAAATACGACTCATCTGGTCTGTAACAGTTTGAATCTTACCTGTCGACAAGGGCATATCTTTTGGTGGCTTCGTGTCGTCCATGTTTTATTCTCGTCGCCGTTTTATCCTCGTCGCCAATCTGTTATCACCGGTGCGTGGAGAATAGATAGATACTCGAAGTTCAAGTGAAAGATAGTATGATGATAAAATCAGAATAATTGGAGTAATGAACAAACTAAGATCGCAGAACCTTGACCCTTACGCTAAACCTACATGTTTCGGAGAGGTCTAAGTTTATAATTAAAACAAGGTAGTTAACCGTTGTTTAACTATCCTCTCTACGAACTAGTGGTTTTAACTGTCCTCTTTACGGACTAGTGGTTTAACCCGTAAATATCAAGAGATATTTGGTCCTCGTGGAAGGTTCTAGAAGAATCAGGAGAGAGCTAGGAACTAGCTCGATTCAATCTATAACAGCATGTATGTGAGCTGCAAATTCGTGAGAATAAGTTTTATGAGTCAACAAAAGAATACAATCAATAACTTTTAATATTGGTGGGGAGGTGAACTATATTTTCTGAAGTATATTTTCTGAACTATATTTTCTGAAGTATATTTTCTGAAGTATATTTTCTGAACTATATTTTCTAAACTATATTTTCTGAACTATATTTTCTGAACTATATTTTCTGAACTATATTTTCTGAACTATATTTTCTGAACTATATTTTCTGACAGTGATTAATCAACCACTTTCAACCAGCATTGACCAATCAAACCCAAAATCACTGTCACGTGACAAAGCGAACTTGCTTCACCTCCCCAGATCTATAACCATTTATAGGTTCTTAAATCTTCAGGCGGAAGCCACGAGGTATCGCAGAACAAGAATGTTCCGACACTTCTGCTCATTTTCCTCTTTCAAATATAAAACCGAGCTTTTCATGACAGGCGAAGACTTTCTTAAAGCAAGTAAGTGGTATGAAAGTTAAAATATCGATCTTCCTGATCACTATCATGTTAACGGGTGATACTCGTAAAATATTTGTTCCAAGACCGTCGACGAGTCCAACTCGGAGCGTCTTGGTAAGTTATAAACTTACAAATCACTACTATAAGTCCTACCTGTAATAAAGTCTTGCAATGCCCCAAAGAGCTCTAATACTCATACCTTTCAGTTCTTTTCAAAGACCAGAAGATGTGCGCTCGAAGATACACGGATCTGGATACCTTGACAGACGAGGAGTTCCAGACCATTCTGAACGCAGCCCCTTCACATGACCTCGAAAAGACGGGTCTTTTCCGGCTTCTAGGCAAGAATGCTGTCATCAGTTATCCTGAGTACCTCTTCCTAGTTTCCATACTCAGGTCATTAATAATGATTATCACCAAATCTTATGTCGCATATCTTGAAAAACGTTCACATCTTAATTCTTATCATAACCGTAGTTGTATCCCAACCCTATCCCTAGCAACGACTTTTCACTGACCCAAACTATAACCCTTTACCAAAAACCCTGCTTTAAGGTAGAAATAAATTCTTTTGTATAAATAACCTCATTCTATATTCTATATAACATATTCGTCCAGTAAGCCTCGCGACCACTTCCTAAAGACGTTCCAGATGATAGATGTGGATGGTAACTGGGTCCTAACCAGAGAAGAGTTCGAACTAGTCGAGAAGTTATTCTCCAAGGGTGTTGTAGACGATAATATCGAGAATACTACCTTAAAGGTCCACTTTTTCAACATGGATGGCTCTGGAGTGATGACTTTTAGTGATTTTGTGCACTTCTTGGACGGTCTCCAAAAAGAATGTTTAGAACTTGAGTTTAGTGAGCACGCTAAAGGTGGACAGATTCTAGAGACTGATTTCACCGAACTTCTCCTTTCTAGGACACTTCTTAGTGAGTTAATTTTACTCAATCTGTCCTTAGCTTACACTGCCACAGAAATTATATTCTCAGACGAGTAATGACTCATAATTACGCAACACGAAACCGAAATTTAACATGTGACTTGCTCTCAATACCAACACTGGGCTAGGTATTAACAGTTATGCCCTACAATTACAACCTATTATTATAGTCGCTGTTAATTCTTTAATTTTACGTCTCGTCCCTGGTAATGACTATATTAATTTATCAGTTCATAAAAAGCTGTCCTACTTTACGTCTCCCAGTCTAACTCGACCATAATCATTAACATTGCAAATAGGTGAGCTGGAGAAAGACAAGTACAGGCGCAGAATATCAAACCGAGTAGAGGATGATGGAGGCATATCTTTCTATCAGTACTCCCAGTTCATGAACCTTCTCAATGACATCCATGACCTTGAAATAGCACTGAGAATGTTCCAGGTGCGTTCTCTAATGAATCATTTAAAAATCTAGCTAAGATTTACGTCATTTCTATGCTTAGTATTACCTGGAGACCCCAGGCTATTATGTTCATAAACATATTATATGAATAAAGCGCCGAATAAAGATTCGGCGGAATGACAGGCTGAGCGCCGCCCAGTAATGCTTAGTAACGAAAAAATGATTGCGGCAATGAAGAGATATGATTTCAAATATTGTTTCATCAGATAGCAAAGAAGCCGGTTACACCTGAAGAATTCCAGAGAGCAGTGAAAGTCTGCACAGGAACGCCTTTAGATGAGAAAATGGTAAAACTAACTTTTAAGATATTTGACGAGGATGGAGATGGACATTTGGGTCACGACGAGTTTATGAAGGTATAAAACTTATTAACTTTCTGCTAGTGGGACATGTTAAGTGTTTACAGATTTCATTGATATCAGCAGAGGTTCTGTCTGAAAGTAAAGATTTAAGTTTAAATGGCGAGCCCAAATTTTCATTCCGATCTAAGATCAGATATCGTCCAGGTAATGAAAGACCGCATACGAAGCCGGGGCACAGTGGACGTGCAGATACCGCCCAAATCTTGGATGGCTTTCAGGAAATGTGTCCACGAACGCATGATGATGACTTCAGTTTAGGAGAATGGTGGATATCGAGAAATTTTGATGACGAAATAGTTATGGATGAATTTTGAAGAATTAACTTTTGATACCGTAATTGACTATTAGTATTATAAATTGACATTTGACTGTATATTGAAAATTGAATATTGTACTTATACATATATAATACGTATAATATGACTCTTTGGCAGCTTAACTATACCATATTCATTGGGAGATCAACTCAATTATGGAGAATATTAGTCGCACAAACATTTTATTCCGATGAATTTTTGTTTTATACTTTTAAGTTAAAGTTTTGCTCAATTGAAATTAAATGCAATATGTTTTCAAGTTGGTTTTTATTTACCATGGTTAAAAGTTATGTATTTTATCAAGCTGTGCAATATTTCTAATATTTCAAATTTTCCCCGAAGTTCATATTTACCTCAGTAAATAATCATCATATAAGCTCAACTGTAAAATATAAATATCCTAAAATAATCCCCCACAAAAACTAGTTTAAACGCAGCAAAACAATTGTCTGTAAGAGTGGAACGTAATGCTATTTCACATCTCATTCTCACCGTTGTTTGTCCACACGAGGCTGTTTAGGGTTACCTTAGGGTCATTCATAAAAGCAATCCGGTGAGTATATACTATATAGTCACCTTTTAAGCCAAAATTTAATTTTTGCAATCATAAAACAGGCATGAATCCGTGAGTCCGAATTTTGAATCTTGAGCCGTGATTCAGGGTACATTTTGGCTCCTATTTCTTTTGGTTCACTGGCTTAGATCTATGGGTTACTGGCTCAGATTGGTGGCTCACTGAAACTAAGTTTTAAAACTGGATCATAGCTGCTCATGCTCAATTCATACTTATTCATAAAGCGAGTATATAATATATATTCAGATCTAGTGAGTCTGCGGTGTATCCACTCTTTCGGTGGATTACCAGTTAGATTAAATGCCGTGGACCGATATTTCCGATCTATTTTGACACGAAAAGGGAGTAAATCGATGAAATCATTGCAATTAGAATGTATGGAATTTCACAAAGATGTTTTGGGCTTTTTGGACAGTGCCAACAGTACAACCTAACGAAGTAGGCCATATGTTATATTTTAATCCTTGTATCGCTGGCCGCATTTAAAACTTAAACTGATAGCTGTATTATTGTTAGCTTGTATAACCGCTGTAGTGCATATTGTGGAACTGTTGTTAGTACAAGAGCGGGAAGGGTTGGTGAAGGAGGGTTGGTGGAGAACAGGAGAAGGTTTGTTGAAGAAGGGTTGGTGGAGAAAGGTTGGCGGAGAATGGTCGGTGGAGAAGGGTTGGTTGAGAAATGAGAACAGGTGAAGGGTTGGTGAAGAAGGATTGGTGGAGAAGGGTTGGTGGAGAACAGGTGAAGGGTTGGCGGAGAATGGTCGGTGGAGAAGGGTTGGTTGAGAGCAGGTGAAGGGTTGGTGAAGAAGGATTGGTGGAGAAGGGTTGGTGGAAAACAGGAGAAGGGTTGGTGAAGTATTACGTATATCTGTTAAAGGTGTCCAGCCTACAGGTCGCTTGTATTTGCTATTAACACCTAGCAGTACTACTCAGGGTGAGCTGGAAAACCGAGATCAAACCTGTTCTCACTAGGCTACTGTTGAGTTTTTGACTATCTGTTGCTTAAAACCTTAGTACGTAAAAAGTGCCGCTTATTCAGTTATTCATTACGTTATTGTCTCTTTGGTAAACTTGAACAAACTCAAAATATTCTTCAGAATATAAGCGCTTGATAGTCTGGCTTATCTTAACGCCTATTATAGAGATATAGAAACATCGCAGCCAGTTTTCGTAATTGATAATTGACTGATCATAACTGTTAGTTATCTTTGAAGTTTCTCATTAATTAATCTCAGGCGATAGAGTTTGATTAAAAGTGATTGATAATAGCTATTTAACAACATTAAATATTTAACATAATTGGCTATTTAACAAACAATGATGTAATGTGGCAAAATTTAATTAGCTAGAAGTATAAGTAATACATTGCCCGTTATTAAATTTACTGATAAAAATCGTTGATTTGTTCTCAGTTCCCCAAAATGGCATCAGTTTATCAATGGAGCAAGTAACTATATATGTAGTATATAACCATAAACCACCGTAACTAGACCACGGCATTGTGCCAATGGGCTTTGGGGAGAGTTAAGATATATGGGCAGCTAGCGCTAACATGATCTAACTGGCGGTAACTTAGTAACTAGTAAAACAAACCCATTTACATTACGAACGTTTTTGTATTTTCCTGTATTTTTGCTCTTGTTCCCCTTGATGTTCTTTAGATTACGTTTTCAGTTTGAGTTTTAGACTTCATCTACCCCATTAAAATGTTTGCAGCTGGTTTATTGATACCGTTCAATTGGGATTATAGCTAAAAGATCATATAAGATATGAGCAATCGCCATTGCATCAATTTACGGATAGCACCAATACTCAATAGATGCTATTGCTGATGACACCATCCAATGACAAAGATTGCGAATATTTGTAATAATGACCCTTTTCATTTTAAAAATGTCAGGAAATGATGCGGAAAGTGTGTCGGAACCTATCTGGTGCTGGAAGATCAGTTCTTCTTAACAGAATCAGAGATTCAAGAAGGCAAATAAGCATGGCTAGACCTACGGATAATGGCGGGGATCAAGGAACTGGAGGTCAAACTAACTGGTATGAATGTGGAATTATGATTTGTGATCATGTTGATTAAAGACCGTGTGAACCTAAATTTCGTATTAAGCTCTTGTTATTCCCAGTTTATTCCGCTCCTAACCCGCAGGTACACTCGGTATCTGATCCTGGGACCTGCAGGGGCTACTGGCGCTGTGCTGACTGGGAAGGATGATGAGGAAAATGAACTGTTAGAGGCAGAAGACTTGGAGTTCGAGATAGCTCAGGTATGATTATTTATAATACTTACTTGTAAGATTGTAGCAACCTTTAATAAACATAATAACTTAATAAGTGCCACTCAACAAATTAGGGTATATTCTAATTCTATACTCTATATTCAAATTATTGAATGGTTGGCTGATAGTTATACATCGTTAAATTTCGACACTTATAACTTCCAGGCGGGTGAAAGCAAGTTCAGGAAGACTCGGTTATTTAAACACTTTTGTTCTTTTGCTTCCATCAAATACAAAACAGAGATGTATATGACAGCAGACGACTTCTTTACTGCTAGTAAGGGAACATTTTAAATTTGAGTTAAACTTGGTTCCTAAACGGTCAGATAACTCATTTATATTTAAACAACGTCTTGAAATACATAACAGTCACCGCATTGCTTACAGTTCTAAGCAAGAACAGTAAAGAGGAAAGTCAGACTTTAAGGATATTGGAAGAAAGTGAGATCGAAGAGTTACTGGAGTCAACGCCCACACATTTGACAGAGGGGCAAGGATTTCTCAAACAGTTAGGAGTCAGAGCTATTATCAGTTATTCGGATTATGTATTTCTTGTTTCTCTATTAAAGTAAGTTTTCAAAGGTTTTGACCAGTTTTATATATTTTCACATTTCGCTTTCAATTCAATATGTTGTAATCCTGTAGTAGAGTATAAGCTGTTATTAAACCGTTGCTTCATCATTATGGTTACTGATCTCAAATATCTTTCAGCTTCTTCTTACAGTGATATTTTCAGCACCAATAAGGAGAATATCTTTAAAATGTTCCAGTTGATTGACACGAATCAGAACTTGATGTTGGACGAAAAAGAGTTTGAAATATTGGAAAATGGTCTGACTGGAGGATGTACAAATAGCAGTTCAGATAAAACAACAATGAAATTACACTTCTTCAAAGAAGACAGCTCCGGAGCTATCTCCTTTGAGGATCTCTCGAACTTTATAGAGGGACTCAAAAATGAATGCTTGGAAGCTGAATTTAGTAATTATTCAGATGGAAACGATTATAATTGTATAACCGAATTAGAGTTTACTGAACTACTGCTTTCGAGGACATCGCTTGGCAGGCAAGCAAAGAATGAATACGTGATCAGAGTTTCAAAGGAAAGTGGTTATGATGAATCCAAAAGCGATAAGATGAGCTCAACTGGCAATAATGATGTATCATTCGATCAGTATTCCCAGTTCGTGAATCTGTTTGATAATATTCATGATTTAGAGATTGCATTGAGAATGTTCCAAATAGCTAAAAAACCAGTAACACAAGAAGAATTCCAGAGAGCAGTGTCCGTTTGTACTGGAGCCCGTTTAGACGACAAGATGGTTAAATTGACCTTCAAAATATTTGATGAGGATGGAGATGGACAACTGAGTCACGAAGAATTTATTAAAGTGAGTATCTTGAATCTTTACTCAATTAAATTTGACGGCATGTGAAAAGGATGTGTACCCTTAAAATCGTTTCCTGGGTTCATACATGCAAACCGTTAACGTTACGAGCATCAAAGATGAGCATGAAAGCATTATTATAAAGTTATAAGGAACACATACTTAGATAATCAATACATTACTAATTCTGCAGGTACTGAAGGACAGAAGAAGACAGGGAACTGTAGACGTACATGCAACCAACGATACTTGGAAAAATTTCATGAGATGCGTTCATCAAAGAGCAAAGAGTTCGAAATGAATAATTACAATAATCTGAACGGTAGTTAACTGATCTAAATTATCTAAATAAAGGTTTATGTGCGAGGCTTCTTATCTGCTTTTAGTTTTATAAACAGTGTCATATTGATTCCTGGTAATTCGGGCAAGATTACGGGGTATTTCTTTGGACAGCAAACAAATTACAATATTCAGATTTAATACTTTAAAATTATTTCGCTGCAATAAAGCAATAACAATTTTATTTTTAACCACCCTCTTATCTATCTAACTCTTGCAGTACTTGCAATATGAATATGTTTAAAAGAAGGGGTTATACTTAATCTTATTGTTTTTGGGTTTATAGTACATCATGGGTAACTGGGATTAGGCTTTAATGTAAAACCGTTTTGTTCGGCTGCAAAACCGTAAAAACCCAAGACACGTGATAATTTTTGGGCGAGCGAATTAGTAAGAGCCATGGCGCACGGCCTAATAATATGTCGTCAGGCATTTAGCAACTCCAATAAGTCCATGTTTGGTTCCTCTGAAGTCCACTGTATTACTGTGTCATGCTAACAACTATATCTCTCTTCGGACATTTGAAAAACGTAGCTGTCCGATGACCGATACATGTTCATGAAGCTCCGAGCTCGTGGAAAGCGGCGTCGTTCAAGTTTGATAGATCTTATGACGTCACATTTTACGCCATCTAGCCCAGAGAACCCAGGCCACAAGACCAGCTCACATTTTGTTCTGCGAAAAGAATTAGGGAGTTTACTGAGGAATTACACGATTCGATTGAGGTACTGCCACTGCACTCTGGAAGCTAAATAACCGGAGAAAGCTTTTAAAATGGAAAATCACGCGAGCGCGCCGCGGCCGGCAAATTAATTAAATGCCCTTCGCTTCGCGCATTGAACACAACAAAAATTATGTCCGCGTTTTCCTGTCACATGCCATGTAGACCCTTTCAAAAATGAAATATTAGCAAGTTTGTTCCGGAGGTACTTGCAAAAGAAAAGGACGTGTCATGTGTTTACTCTTTGAGGGAAAGAGTCTCTTTCAGATTTTTTATTCAATTTTCGCCGGCTTAAGTATTTGAGGCTCACAAGATCACAGGTTTTAGGAGACAAGTCAGGTAAAGACTAAATACCTATTTCGAATACCATTTATTCTGTGAAGACACATCCTTCAATGTGACTATAAATACTTTATATCTACAAGTACTTATTAAAAACAAAGCATTTTTCAAGAGTTGCTTAACTTTATTCAATCATGAAATCACAATATTTGTAAACGACAAATCACATCTGATAATAGATGAATGGTGAACCAATTCAAATTTAAAATATGAATAGCTTTTATTCATTCTTTGTAACAAGAAACCATCTTCCTGATGCTGTGAGCCCTTTGCCCAAGATCACTTAAAATCCGTCGAAATCGAAAATTAAAATGGACTTAACAACTGTTTTAAAAATATATCAAAACCCCGAAACTAAATTGATGATGATAAATAACTCTACATTGGAATATCACGAGACTAAGAAAAACAAGTTCTTCATTATATAGCTTTGGCTGACAAAAAACGTCGATTCAAATTGGTCTCAACTGCCGAGGGTCCTTTTACAAAATCTTGAAATTACAGTGTAGAGTGATTTAACACGCTCGAAACTAAATTGGTCCAGAATTAGCAGGTTGGAAGTTAAACCGATATCTATTCAAAAATACCGCAACGTTTAAGTTAATCCACATTTTTCAACTGAAAACACCAAAATGCATAAACAAATGATAAAGATATTTTAATTACAAACATAAAAACACAGCTTCCATTTTATTACAGCAATAACACTCGCAAGATGCAACTTTTAATGATTAAAAATAATGATGATCAAAATCTATACTTGTACAGTGTAGAGATAGAAAATAGATGTTACAAAAATGATAAAATAAAATCCAACTAGGAGATTTCCAGAAGTAAGATTCAAACTGGAGCTCCATTTTCAAAATTAGCCTGCCCCTGGAGTCATTATTGGGTTACTTCTGGACTGTCCCAAAAATGATGTACAATCTGATAATTATCTGCACTCTCAACAATACTTGTTATTTGTGCTCTAGATACTCTAGATACTTCTTCTAATTTACAAAATCAACACAATGTTTTCTAAGTAGTTCAACTAAAAACGTCACACTTTGAACAATATCTCTCTTGTGATTTCTTCGCTAAAACCATTACAGTAACCTGACTCTTATAAAAATACGTTAACATAACTTTGTAGAAAAAGTCTAAATGAGATGGCCCCTATTTGGGTAAGATAGGATCCCTCTCATTTGCCTCCGTCTCAATTTTTTTGTATCCGGAGGTACGAAGTGGCTCGGTGTTGCGAGCAGGTCCGAAGAACGTGAGGAAGACAGGCAGGAATACAAGTCCGTGTAACATTCCCAGTAACACGATACACACATACATCTTGAAGTAGTAAATCTCAAATATCTGGGATTTAGCAAATGCCAGCACTGATATCCCAATCAGCTTGGTCATGAAGATACCGCTGAGGACTGAGGATCCGGTTTTAGCGAGTGCTTCTTTAGCGCGGTCCACCCGACCAGGCTGTCTGCTGAGTGAGAAGGAGCGGGTTATGTGAGAAGAGAACTCTACACTAATCCCCACTGACATGACCAGGTTCACCAGAGAAACTGGGTTAATGTTAATGTTCAGCAAGTACATCATCCCCAACACGTTTACCGTGATCATGAGAACTGTAGTGGTCGTTATCACTGAGGACATGAAGTTGAAGTTGAGGAGGACAAAGGAGACAATGAAGACAGCGAAGATGCAGACACTCAGGTTAATAGCCACCTGGTTGACCATAGTCACGTACATTTCATAGTACACGTAGAACACAGAGTAAGGGTAAACGTTACCGTTCACGTTCTGCTTTATGAGCTCGGAGAGGTTTCGTGCTTGTCTGTATGCGTCAATAAAGTCAGAAGAGTTTCTACACGTGGTATGGTAAGTCATGAAGTATGCAGCTGAAATATTAGAACTAGCAGCTCCCTTTTTATCACTGCGTTCTACAGCGGTGTACTTAACCGCGTCACCGTACGCTGCATGCCCTCCCTTTGTGCAACCGAACCCTTTAGTAGTTGGGTTATCTTTCAGGTACCACTCTAAGTACTGCTGGAACTGTTGAGAAGTAGGGCGATGGTGGTCGTACTCACTTTCTATACACATGGAACAGGATTCCTGGTCGTCTGTAGAGGCACAGAACTGGTTCTCCTTCTCCCCTCCGCTGTAGTATCTGCAACATGAGTAGTATTCGTCTGTTGGCTCCAACCAGTCGAAATAGTCGTCTATCCAGGAGTTAGGCGGTTGAGCTAGACGGCTGAAGTCGGAGAAGTTAGCGTAGATGTTAACGAGGGAGACTACAGAGTCAACGTTGCAGCCGGAGACCCCACACAACTGGTTCTGTCCCGTCAGAGAGCTGGCGTTGAGAGAGTAGTTACCTTGGTCATCCTCCAGCTCGACTACAAAGTAAACTGGAGCACCCACTTCTAGATACTTGTTCAGGTAGATGAAGTAAGGTCCCACGTAGGAGTCTTTAGGGAGAGCAAGTTGTTGGTCCAGTCCGATACTGAGGTGAGGGATAGCTGCGATAGAGAGACAGAAGGTAAGTCCGAAGAAAGACATTACGATAAACCTGACTACAGTAGTGTTGAGCAGAGCAGGGACCCACACCTTGCTGACGAGCAGATAAAGTGGGCTGCGTGGCCGCGTCTCCCCATCTGACAAGTGCACATCTGATGAAGCACCAACACAGCAGAACACATCCACCCTTTCTGCTAACTCCCTTTGACGGTCCCATGAGAGCAAGACAAGGAACACGCTGACTTGGAGCAGGAAGTTGAGGAGTACTGCAACACTCGCGTACAGGGAGAAGTCGTGCACTGCGGGCTGACTGGAGAGACTGCCGCACGCAAACGCGATCACTTCACTAGCCGCTGAGAGTAGCATGCTGGGCGCCACATCAGCAAATATCCGGACCAGCTGCTCATTTCCTGTCTCTCCAACTAGGAGGTAATCTCTCTGTACTGCTTGCACCAAGATAAAGATGTTGTCCACACCTACTGCGAGCACGAGGAATGGTATCACCTCCATGATGATTACAGTTGATTTGTAGCCAGCGTAGCTGAATATTCCCAGGGATCCCAGCACTGACAGTAGAACGAACATCACTCCAGCGAGCCCCAGAGAGATTTTAGCGTCCACTAGCCATCTCCGGATACAGTAAAGAGGCACACCCGTCTCAGCACAGCAGCTCACTTTACCCAACATGATGGCCACGTAGCCAAACATGAGGAAGTAACTGAGTGCCACTGTGAAGATGTCTTGATATGCTTCACGCTGTAGTTCATCTTCAATAGAACGCTCTGCCATGAAAGCTAACTCAATGTCCGGATCACTCCACCCTCTCATATACTCAATAAAGGCTGACTCCCAGGCTTCTGCGTCAGCATTAAGAGATTCGTTCTTATGATTGTTGAGAGGAAGTGACAGGACGATAGCATCTGCCTGGAGAGGGTCTCCTTTCTCTGAGAATCCACCCAGAGCGATGTTAACTTGAGCCGGACCAGTGAAAGTAGTCATACAGGACATGGTGTCGTAGCTACCATCTGCTGTCTCCAGTGGGGAGCTCACGCACCTGTAAATGTGCTCTAGATATGTGGCGTTGTGCCCGTTCTTATTGTCTGTCACCACCACGTCAACAGATGCACGGTTGTTTTGGAACCACTGGAAGGGGGATATCAGAGCACACTCGTTAACATCAGGCGCTAGAGGGATAAAGCACACGTCTTTAACTCCGATAGTTCTGTTATCTAAACTAGCTGTTACACTCATGATCCCTGCCTGTAGGTTGAAGATCTTAGTGAAGATGTCTTTCCTGAATACTCCGCTGAAGGTTTGCTCTACAGGTCCGTCTAGCTCGTCTCTGTGTACTGTGTAGTTGAAGGAAGGTACGTTAGGAGCAGTGATTATAACCTGGGTTGTCCTGTAGAATGGTACAAATGTAGCGTCGAACTTGTTCTTCTCCAGCCGGGTCTGACTTAGGGGTGCAGACCACAGATCAATGGGCGCGCTGGTCAGTACAAAGAAGTACATTCCTCCACAGCATGCGCCTACAACCACTACAGCGCACATGATCACAGTCCAGGGGTGAGACACAGCAAAAGTAGCCCAGCTGGTGAAGAAATTGTGCAGGATCTGGTCCACAATACGACACCCTTTGTTAATATTACCTTGAAGAACTTCGATGTGGCGCTCACTGATGCTGCTAGCTATAGATGCACTCCGTGTCATCGGGTCCATCTGGTTGAGACGTCTGTAGTGTATGTTTATAGAGAGATGAACGAGGCAGAGGAGGAAGAGAGCGAGGTAGACGATGAGGAGGATGATGAGTGGACCGTCAAATCCCAGGATTAGGAAGGGAGATTTAGGGGCTGGTATGTTGGGAGGAGCCGCACAGGTTAACTCAGAGGGACAATCCTGGCAGGAGCATCTCCAGCTGTCATTAGTCTCTTTCTCATAGCAGAACTTCAAAGTCTCAGCTTCTAGAGGTACAATTGTGCCGTTATCTTTGTTATCAGGTACCTCTGTAGGGTAGTCGATAGTAAATGGAGAGAGTGGGTTGTCTCCCATGAACTGGAAAAAGCGGTTCTGGTCGCATTTTGTCGTACCACATAGTGCGACAATGGCCTTCATGTTAGCAGAGGGTAGAGATACGTCCTTTATAGAGTTGTAGTACTTTGATTTGTACTCGTTAGTTAGAAAAGTGGAGACTCGCTCTACGTTGTAGAATGTACCGTCTGTAAAAGTTTTTGTGTTATAATAATATGTCAGCTGAATACGATTAATATTTGGAAACTTCTCAAACAACAACATAGACCTGTCATATCAACTATGTTTCTAGGAACCCACCACCCTTACCCCCCCCACCCCTCAACTGCTGTAAGTTCATTATTAAAGTGAAAGTAACCTGCTTATTTAATGATAATGAAAGTGAAAGTAACCTGCGCTTAGTTCTAAGTCAGTTGCGTTCACGAAGAGACTCTGATCAGGAGAACAAGTAAACTTGCAGTAAAGAGAAACAAAGTTCTTCCAGGACACCTCACACTTCGTTAACAGACTCTGCGCAGCAGCCACCTACATTGTATTCAGTGTTAACATAATGAACTAGAATTAGTGTCAACATAGAAAATGTTGCAATCATTTTTACAGTTTTACTACAACCTCGATTACAATTTTTAAAAACTTGACTGTCTAAGCTTCCATTAGAAAGTACCACGATAAAATTATTGATATCAGATCTCTAGTTTAGAGGTGTGTATTGTCTAAACTAAAACTTACACTGCCTTTAAGAGTGGCTGCCTGGGACGAGTCACAACACACCTTCTCTCCAGCAGCTATATCAGGACATAGATCTGCAAAACAGAAGCATTAAAACGAGGCAGGGGGTGCAGGGGCAGGGGGGCCTGGGAGTATTTTACAGACTAGGCGAATCTTAATAGATTGTAATTGAGGGGGAGGTGTGAGGGTTGATCACCTGTTTTTGTAAACTTAGTATATTGAAATTTAAATGATAGAATTGTTGGAAAATATTACCTTTCAAGACAAGTTTAGTGATAAAGTCGATGGGTTGAGCTGGTTCGTTAGCGTACCTCACGTAATTTCCAGTTCTCTGATAATGTTGAATTATTAAAATTTAAACAGCTCGTCAAACATTCAAATAATCATAATTAGCTTGATTTTGAATCAAGTACGATCAGAAAAATCACTATTTTATTCAAATAAGTATCGAAAGGCCTCCTTATATTGAATCTTCAACTTTAGAAACGACTGTGCTATTATGACTTCCTTACACTGACTTCCTAGTTCTACTTCTAACAGTTAAAGTGACATTACAATGATTTGTTACAGTTATACTAGACTGTCCTGTTAACTAATAACATACACTGTTAACAACTGTTACAATAACTAACCAAACTATCCTGTAATACAAAACAACAAAACAACAAAACAGCTACATACCGGTGATGGGTCTCCATCTGCTTTCATCATACAATATCCAGGTTTGTGAATCCTGGTGTTGATATCCTGTCCTCCTACAGTCAGGAGTAACAAGGAGACCACCACGACTCCTAATATACTCATCCTAATAAGACGCTATTTGTTAGATTAATTATGACGTTATTTGTTAGACTAATAATAACATTCTTAATTTAAATAAACTTAACTAATAATAAAAACTCCTTTAAAGAGTTGTATCTTTAAATTGGCCCCTAAGATGAAATGAAATACATGTAAAAACAGGGTGGGTGTTATATTGAGTGATGTCGGGGGATATGTATTTAAGTGAAAACGCAATAGTAATAAAAACTATGATATTTTCCATCGCTATTGATCGGTGAATTTCAGCTTATAATGATGAATAATAGTAAGTATACGATATTATCAAGATTCGTATCCTTAAATTAATTTACTTGATCAAGATTCTATCACAACTCACAACTCATCGTAGTGAAAGTTGAATAATAGACAATCACAAAAGTGAAGCAACAATTTTTTAAATAAGTTAAGTAAATACGCACGTGAGTCAATAATAAAATGATAAAAACTATCAAATAACAGTTAAAATATCCTCCTTATTTTAACAGTTGAAGACGTATCAGTGATATGCGCAAGCAAGCGAAGTGAGTGGCGAATTGAGCCACAGGGAGTTTCTTATCAGTATCCGATAAGAGAAAGAATGACAATGAGGTGATTTTTTCAGCAAATCGAACGACTGGCGCTAACAGTATTCAAACGTCTTGTAATTCAACACTGTCTCCCACCATTATTTAGAAGCCCATGATCTGGACGTCTTTTTGCCTTTTTGCCTATAATATAGTCTCGACGAACCTAGTTTTTATATGCCCAAATATGGTCAATTTTGGTCAAACTCGACCGGTCATGGACTAATACGTCATTGTCTGATTGCGCTCGAACTATGTTACCTAAGTTGATGCCCTTATATGGTCATTCGGTCATCTTTATCATATTCAACTTTTACAATGATATCATGATTCGATAGGTACTAATAAGGCGGATACTACTTCAGTGAAAACCTTGGTGTATGGTATGGTCCAACAATCAGCTGTTAATGAGAAATGAGCTTACTATAGACTCATAAGTCTTGTGAGTTATATCACATGATCATGGTTCTGTAAAAGCTAAAACAAGGATGCTGTTGGTAGAACCAGTTAAACTTATTGAATATCTCACTATCAGTTTACTAAGAACTTAGATTAGAGAGTGACCAGGCTTTCGGGGGTTCAGAGTACAAAAACACAAACATAAGTTGTATTAGTAATATCAGCTGTTATCAAAAAATGTACTTATATCACAAATTGTTTACTGAACAAAAGTTTAAAATAAATAATCGAAGTAGAATTCTTTAACAAATGTTCATAACATCAATTTCATTACATATAGAAACTTTTCTACTGTCTTTTCGTGGCCTTCTGGTTTTCTCCTTGAACTTTTTTGAACTGTTTTTAATCTTTAACTTAACCTTTGATTCTTTAGTTTCTTCTGATAACGACTTCATTTTTGAGTCCGTTAATATATCCTGGAAAATAATGTTTCAAAGATGACATAATTATAGCCATGAGTCATAACTCTTAAGAGAGAAAGAGAGAGACTATGTGTGTTGTGTAAGAAAGAAAGAGAGAGACTATGTGTATTGTGTACCACAACACGCCATACCTAAACCTGTCGTATTACTTATTTGCTTAAATAAGAACCCCTCCAGTAATACATAAACTTCCAATACAAGTAGGTAAAACAAACATACAGAGCCACCGAGCACCAGCTATCACGTGATCGCCGGTGATTCGCACCTTATTTTGTAACGAATTATAAGGAAACTATTCGTGATCACGTGATCACTGATCATATTAACAAACTTTATTTTCAGCGATAGCTTCGAAATGGCTGAACTACGAGGTTACGCAAAACAATATAATATAAGTTTGTTGGAAACTTGATGATCTGTTGATGGACATGTCTTGACACACATTTGACGAACAATAATCACGTGAAATAATAAGTTGATTAGCACAGAAAACCACGCGACGGTTTAATGGTCGGTCAACACACTGGGGGTAATATAATGAAAATGAAGGTTGAGTAGATTGGAAATAGATTAAATTTTGTGTCGTAGTAGTATGGTGACCTGATATTAAGAGAGTGCCAAGTTTTACAAAGTATGAATAAGAAGAATACATCATGTGCAAATTAGAAGAAAAAGCACATACAGTGTGCGGTGTACAATGAACTATAATGACAAGGAAGTAGATACCAGAGTTAACATTATGAGTCAGAGGACAGAGGATAGTATTACATAGTGAACTAATTTTATCTGCAACTTCTTTGTAGTAGTTAACGAGAAAAATAACGCAGAATTATCAACTTAACAATGGAAACATGAAATTATTAATCGACACTGAAGTCTGATTCCTAGGATTTCCGTATTCCGCATAAATTTCCTGGAACCTGCATTACTTCTGGGAAAATCTTTAAAGAAGAATGGCGTGATTTATAAGTAATTCTTTTGTTAATCATAATGTGTGTGACAACGTAAATCTAAAATACGGACATTAAATCTAAAATACGGACTTAAATGTAAAATACGGACATTTAAATACTACAATTTGGCGTAGGACTTGATGTTTGACAAACCTATTCAAATATTAATATAACCAAAGTTAATTATTTATACATGTGTACTGTGTAGCCATTTCTAATTTATATTAAGTTAGCTTTGTGTAACTCACGCAAGTTAATAAGTTACTGTCATCCTCGTCAGAATCTGATAAAATAACAGCTTTAGCTTTTCTTTCACGTACAGTCATTATCTCGTCCTCATCATCAACCGGGGATTCTACATTTACCTGAATTTTGTCTGGTTAGCTGCTAAATTCCTGAGGTATCTTGAAATTCTCTTGAACATGAGGTGTTAAATATATAATGTGTTTGTCATCTGAATGTTCGTGCAAAAAATGATGATGAAAAAAACAGCAAACCGCAGATTTGTCAGAGCTAGGTTTTTTAGATCGTTTCCGTTTATTTTTAGTTCCATTGGGTTTCTTTGTAACAGTGTCGTCTCCCTCCTCCACAGGATCATGGTCCATCATTACCACCTCCTCCTCGTGGCTAAAAACAGTCATTGTCAGTTATTATAACAGTTATTATCAGGTAAGACCAAGAACATTACACCACAGTCTCTGCATTGTTCATAGCACGAAAATACTGTTACACCAACATTTAATTTGAATTCTCATCGATCTTATATTCTTATTTGTACGGTAATAGACCACTGACCTAAGAGTGGAGTTATGTATGAAATGCGAGGTAGAGGGAGAAGTAAGGTCTACATCTTCAGTGGGACTCAGGTAACTAGAAACACTGTCACTGGTACGAGGTCTGATGTTCTTGTGCAGATGTAGTTGTATTACATCTAACAGAGTTGCTATCTGAACAAATGTACGACTTGTTATACTGGCAACAAAGACAATTTAGAAAGTCAGGTTTTGTTAGCAGCTAATATCTGAATGAAAAATATGGTTCCTATGATAACAAAACCACTAAAACTGTGGTTGCTATGGTAACAAAACCACTAGAAATGTGGTTGCTATGATAACCAAACCACTAGAAATGTGGTTGCTATGGTAACAAAACCACTAGAAATGTGGTTGTTATGATAACCAAACCACTAGAAATGTGGTTGCTATGGTAACAAAACCACTAGAAATGTGGTTGCTATGATAACAAAACCACTAAAACTGTGGTTCCTATGGTAACAAAACCACTGCTTGATCCTTAAACCTGGTTCTCAGAGTATCTGTCCTCACATTCCTCAATAATAGCGTGTAGTTCCACGTGTGTAGTAGGACGTGTGTTTATCAGCTGTACTAACTCTGATTTAGACAGATTGTACTCCGTTACTGACTTTACAAACTCTGTGTGTGTTGGTATGTGGTTATAATACTGTACTACAAACAATGCAATGTAAACACAATACAATATACATCATCATTCGTCATAAACATTAAAGTATTAAATAGAAGTGCTCAAAATAAAATATTATGTTAATGACTGAATGCAGCAAGTTATATTTTATTTTGGCTGGTTAGTTTAAGACCATTTCAAATTAGACTTATAAAATTACTAAATCATTAAATATCTTATTCGCACCTGGAATGGTAGTTTCTGATGAAAATCTGCAGGGGGCGATATTTTCGAAATACTTTAACGTTTCGTACGCAATGGTATTCAGGTTTCGAAGATTTTTCTTGACGAAGTTGTTTCTGATTTTCTTCTGGTCCTCCCTGAGATTTCAACGTTATAAATATGTTAGCAATCAGTCATCTTAATCAATCATTTCGATATAGACAAAATTGATATAAAGATTTTATTTTTCCAGTATCAATAATAGTCGTTGTTTCGAATCACTCAACTGTGTTCCATCAAATTTCGAGTAATGAGGTGCTAGACAACCTTACAAAATATTGCGTGTTTCATAAACTAATTACATACCTTGTCTCCTTCAAGATAAGATAGACTTCATAGTTTGAAAGTAACGCAGCACAAGGATTAACAACCTCCATAACTAAGAAAATAAAAATATCATATTAAAATGATATAAAATCCGGTAGTGTATCGCAGCAATGCATACGAGGTAAACTGGGTTAACCTCAAGATTAACGCTCTAAAAGTTGAGAAAATCAGACTATAAACTCAATTTAAAATACGTTAAAATTTCTTATAAAACTTTGCTAAAAACTAACAATATCGAGTATACTTACAGGTCAGCACCAACATACAATAGCAATATAATCATAACAAGAATTTCGCCGCGGTAACACCACGCACGATCAAATTTCCCTACTGCCTACAATGTAATTGTTCTACTTTAGGGGTCGTTCACATATTATTATTACGTAATCAGCTGAGGGGGGGGGGGGGGGGGGGTTTCCGAATGATTACGCTAGTGTAATTTCGACACAATAGCTTTGTGTAAAACTGATTACGGAGGGGGGGGGGGGGGTAAAACTGTTCCAAAAAATGATTACGTAATATGTGAACGACCCCTTATTAGCTTATTGTATCCCACAGTGGTGTTTGGCGCACGCGATAATCGTTTATATTATATTAGGCGTGCAGAACTTGTAAAATTCTGCGCGCATCTGAAGTGTCGCCGTCGATCTGTATGTGGTTTGGTTGTAGATCATTTCATTTTTGCGCGGTTTTGTTTCGTGTTAACGATGAGTATCATGTCACGTCATATTATTGCATCGTATGCCAACTTTATTGACTGTAATCAACTATTCTGTCTCATCTTAGTTATTATTTGTAAATAACATAAACTAATGCTTTTGATGCTTACATCTACAGCACCATCGACTATCGACTATCGAGCCTTTGATTTTATATAGGATTCTTTAAAAGCATACCGCAATCTTGATCTTAGTTGCTCCTTGAATGTAAATGTAAAGTAACATCTTTTGTCAACTATGTTTTCGCTTTTTAAATTTTACCATGAAGTGTCGATCAACTGTTATAAGTAATATATATTATTATTATTATTATTAGTAATCAGCAACGAGTTTATCAGCTGATATCATAATTTAATTTGTTTCGACTTGCTGAATTTTATCACTCGGTAATTTATTAAGCTTGTTTCACCAAAATAACACTTACATTGATGATTGATCCGCTCTGATGACTAATATGCTATATTAATGAATAAGAGTGAATTGTAACCCGATTGTAACCCGATGGAAACCTGTGTAACAGTCGTCAAGCACCAAAAACTGGTTGCTATGCCTGTAATTAATTAACACATAACAGGCGTCGCGCGCGCAAAATAGACTCCTTTTATACACATAATTATAGGAGAGTGGTCTATATTGCGAAGGAGCAGACTTTTGTCGTCAACGTAGGACCGTCGGGCCACCTCATATATCCAAACCCGATTACTTATTCCCTACGATCTTTTTGCCTTCGGCAAGAGTAGGGAAAAAATCTTGTACAGTACTTCAGTACTAGTTTAGCAAACATTTTAGTTTACAAAATTTAAATTTTATGCCATTTATTACAGACAAATCAATTTGATATTTTAAAAAGCACAATGCAATGTGTAGTATAATGGGTTTCACTCTTTTTAACTAACTTAGATATATAGGTTAACGGGGCAAAGGGGTGTGCGACTGTGAGTGCTGTGTGCTACTAAAACAAGTAGTACAGTAAAAGAGGAGCTAACCTATAAAGTATAAAACAGGTCTTATCTTAGTATCTGCATGATAGTGCCACATCTTTTTATATTTTGTGCATCCAGGAGGTGGGGTTAACTCTCTAGTTTTGCAAAAACGAAGTGCTCCATAACTCCAGTATTTGTTCATTCCAACTCGGCGGGGTTTTCCATACCATGTTACTGGCCAATCTTTTAAGGGATATTTATTACCTGTACTTGGAGCTATATCAATAGCTAAATGGCAATCTTTTAACTCCATCAAGGAAAGAGATTCTTCGTAAAAATGGATATCTTCTGAATCAAGATCAGGATCAATAACCATTTGCATATTAAATGAATCATTTTCTTCACCGGAGGCAGCAGTAACGCGCAGAACAAAACCACATTCTCCCTTATTCCGGCAGCTTGTTGTAAGATCATGTTTGAATTTAAACTTGATGTCGTGATTTTTACCAAATAGTTCATCAGGTAGGTATTCATTAATGGAAACAAGACGCTCATACTGATCGTCCGTTATCATGTTTACATTCTTCAATATCTGAGGAGTAAGACCCCCAAATTGTCCCAGTTTCTTGATTCCTATATCTACATACTCACGAGGTAAAGGGGTCCAGCCTTTACTTTTCATGGTATCAAAGAACTTTTTAACAAAAGTGTCAGGGATTGTAACAAATGGAATAACATAGCCATCTGCTAGTTGTTTATCAAAGAGCCAACAAAAAACAGCATCATAAAAGATACAGCTGTTTTCAATCAACTGCTGATATGATGACCTGTGAGCTGCTCGGCATGACTTAAAATTCAGCTTCTCCATAATGTATCGAGTGTTAAGATCAATGACATGACAGTTATTTTCGAAATGGTTCAACAGAACTTGTATTAAAATGAATTCTTCCTCGCCAGCCAGTTCAATTATTACATCAAGATATATTGTAGGTTGGCATGAAAGGTCAATATAAAGAAAGTTGGTTAAAAAGTTCTTTGAACAAGATGCCAGGGATGTAAACTTTTTGATAACCAGGTCAACAAAATTCTTCTTTTTTAGTTTGATGAACATAAACATTGCCTCTTCAAACACCCACAGTTGACTTTTATAGTTGTTAACTTTAACTGCTTCTAACAGAGATTGGAAATATCTATAACATTCGTCAACAATCCAAGAGACATCAAACACATGCCCCATTTTGTTGACATCACGAAAATTAGAATTAGAAATCTTTTTTATCTTCCCTGAATAAGATGCTTCAAGGAAGCACTGAACAGCATCCTTTGAGAAATCTGGCACTTCAATGGTAGATTGGAAAAGATCTGTAGTTAAATTCTTAATGACTGGGCTGTTGAAGGAAATTATCATTGAGTTGGCTAGTAGTTCTTCCCCGCTTTCAAGAAGAAACTTAAGGTTACTGTGAGTTGGAATTCCAAGATATTGTACCCCAAAATCCATGGGTACTTGTACTTTGGAAACATTCGTTGTCATATGTTTATTTGCATTAATCTGAAGAAGAATTATTAACTTTTAAACATGGGATAGTAAAATGAATACTACAGAGTTGAATCTAATCTGGTTTACATAAATCATGCATGATCGATTAGTAAAGATTGCCTATAAAATAGATAACAATTTAACTAATCAAGTAGGCAATAACATACTCTTAATAAACAATTAAAAAAAAATTAGAGCCATTTACTTTCCACACACTATTTTCAACTCACCCTGTATCTGATACAAAATCATGTCCGTTCATTTGATGCTGTTAATTGTCTTTCGCAAATTGATTCAAGATTGATTCAATTTACGCATCATGTCAGCAGACTTAGGGGAAAGAAAAAACACAAATTCAAGGCGCAGGTTATATCTAACTTGGAATACTTTTGAAAGAGAATAACATGCTCAAAAATGCTATTGTCTAATTTTCCGTGAAAAGCACGATAGTGTGAGTAGCTTTTGTCGATGTGCTTCAGAAGTGATCTTAAACGATTCCCGTTCAATTTTGGTGAGCACATGCCAACTAAGTGCAAAATCAAGAAAATTATAAACATATTTCACATGTATCAAATTGGATGTGCTTTCGGTGAAGATATAGCATGCGCCGAAATTGAAACAGTTTTTTAAATTAAACGAAGGGTGACATAATTCACACATCAGGGCCTATCTATCAACAGACGCCTCGTAACTGAATATCATGAAATAATATTAATTAATAAATACTATACACATATAGTAGTTTTTTCCAGGCAGTAAAGCTTTAGTTAAGCTATTTCATTGAAGCAGTCCAGTTTATGTTTGCAGTTTTCATGAGGATAGTGCAGACCGGGACGCCCGGAGTCTGCAGCCCCTCCTTCTATGCTTACAAGAAGTCGTACCCTCTTTACTTGGCAAGCCAGGAGGGGCTTTTCAATTAAATGACATAATCCGTGTACTATTATATTAAAAAGTCTCTCTCAGCATAAACATAATAAAACAAAAGTTAATAAAACAAAAGTTAAATTTATTACCAATTATTCAATCAATACATATCATAAATTCTAATATTGGAAACACAATGCAGAATGGATGTCTTAAACTATAATTTTGTTGTCACTAATAATCTATTTACTTTCAAAGTTGAAATTTAGTTAAGTATGAAATGCCACCACATCATAGTTAGGGTAAAATATAATTCTTAAAAATTTTTAAATTGAGAAGATTGCTCTATGACTTAAAATTTAAAATTTAGCAAAAGATATCTAATTTTTAGATAGTTGGTTACAGTTTATGACAGTACTGGCATGATCAATTTTATTGTGGCTGGTAAAAGGACCCAGTTGCCTGTAAGGGCTTTACCGAACCCCTGGGGACCACAATGTGATAGGATCAGGCCAGATGTTTCTATGTAGAGCAATTTATTTATTTCTGAGCTATGGTTACGTGGTATAGCTGGTGGTCATGTTTAAAGGTCAGTTTATCTTTGTGTGCTAATTATCCATCCAGATGCTTAGTGATGTGAGTAAATCATGCCCTTCTACAATATATAACGTTTAACTATAAATTTGTTTTTACCACAGAAACTGTGGCACTAAGGTCAAGAATTAAAAATTTGTACTCTCATTGATAGTTAAAGCGTTTTTTTCCCCAGCACTACTACACAACAAAAACCTGTCGGCCCACCGAGGAAACACAGTCGCAGAACAAGGAACCCAATTGTGCTCCTCTATTCTGCGATCGTGTGTATTTACTATAAACTAGCTAAATGCAGTTAGTAAAATTTTCTGGAATCATTAAAGTCGTTTGATTAGTTTATGTGTCAAAGTAATGTCCATGATAATCATATATTTGGATCCCCGGTGGGCAAACACTCGTCCCAAAGGCTAAGGCAAACC